TACGAATGATATTTCCATAAGCATGATCGTGGCGCGTTGAAAGCGACCCGCTTTTCAATAGGGGCGTTTTATTTTCTACTGAAAACCGGCAAGTCTATTACTTAGGGCAGCAACGTCGCGACTTCGTCGTCGGCTTATTACGTCACTTGTATGCACGATCCGAGGACTTCGTGTCTTTAAGCACTTCGCAAACTTGCCGACGAACGTCGTGTTCGAGCCTTGCCCGAGTCTTATCGCGCGAGCCCCCCCGGCTACGCCCAGCCGCCCCTTTATAATCCGAGACCTGGCGAACGTAATGGCCCGGTAAACGCGAATCGCAATAACTTCATCGTGACCGGAGCGGCGAGGTGTCACGGGCGACACGCGAGATGAAGCGATATTCTGTCGTAAAGCCGGCTACGAGCCGAGCGAACGAGCGCGAATGAACAGCTTACTCGCGAGTAAGCCGCTCGCATTCATTCAGGTGAGTCGTTCGTGCTTGTTCGCGCTCATTCGCTTGGTCCAGGTTGATACGCTCTGAATATTTTCACGTTGATGCTAGATTTATACATATACGCGAAATCAATGATCGGTTTATTCTCTGTCGTTCTTATTCTCATTTTTAGTCGCGTCGCGCAGCGCAGCTTATCTTATCCTTTTTAGTCTCAAGCCTGATTCTCCTCGGATGTTTCACTCCGAGAACTAAGAAGGAGAATGGCGAGTCAACTTTCTGCTAGAAGAAGATCCTTCGCGACTTAGAAGATTTAACTCGGTGATGGGAGTGGGAGGGCTGGGAGGACAGGTGCGATTTACGCGACGACCCTGTATATCGGAAGCGCTCGGTGAAAACACTTCGGTGTAAAAACAGAGTTAGTGGCGTAATCCGGTCGCCACCATCCCCATCCACGCGCGTTCCTCCCCCCCTCTACGGGGCGAGGAGCCCCCTCGTCGTCGCTCTCCTCCCTTTGCTCTTTCGCGGGGACACGAGAGAGCGCCGTTGATAGGGTGTACTGAGAGAGAGAGTTGGCAGGGACCGTAACGGGCCGGATTCAGGCTCTCTTCCTGTCTTAGTGGTGTGGCGTTACCATGGTAACAGACTGTAAGCCGCTTAACACCCCCCAGTGGCCTCGCTCTGCTCTGCTCGTCTCTCTCTCTCTTTCTCTTTCTCTTTCTCTTTCCCCCTACCGCAGCCTCCTCGTCCTCTTCCTTCTTCTCTCTTCCGAGCCCGACGGAATCCTCGTGGCACCGACACACGGAGTCAACCCACCCCGCAGTGATACTCGTGGCAGAGCGGACGGTAGTAAATGTCGTTTTCCCCCTCTCCGCCCTGCCATCCCCATCTCGCCATTCTCGCTCCCCGCTCCGCCAGCGGGCATGTTTTCGCACCCTCGTCGGTAACGAGCGGGCGAGAAGTCCCTCGACTCGGCGGAGAGGATATCTCTCGTCTGTCATCGACGACGATCGCTCCTTCGTGGAGATGTATATCCAAGCGTAGAGGAATAGGAGAAGGAAGAGGGGGAAAACGACGATTAGCGTGATAGAGTGTCGGCGCAGGACAGCGAAGGGAGAGGAAGAGGAGGGGGAGATAAGTTGGTCTCGGTCGTGTGAGAAACAGGAGAAACTTGCGGTCGGAAGTTTCGGCGACGAAGTGCATGAGCGCGGATTCTGTTCAGACGCGACATCTCGCGGTTTATTCAAATGCGAGCAGGGGGTGGGATGTGCGGTGAAGGGATGAAGAAGGGACGCCGACCGTGAGTCCGTGAGAAGGAGAGCACGAAGTGGGAGAGAGAGAGATACATATATATACCGTGCCGTGTTAAATGAGAGCGCTTCTCGCAAAAGGCGGACAAACCCCTTCGAGGATGACGCGCGACACTCTCTCGCTGCAGTATCGCGAAAAAAAAACCGATGACGGATACTCTTTCTTTTTTGCCTTTGTCTTTAACGACCAGCAGCGTGACATGCGTTGTACTTACCTCACCAGTTGTTCGCCATTAACTTTTCCCTTTCCTTGTTACGGCAATGTTGACAAGTGAGAGATGGGCGACGTCGGAGAGCCGAGCGGATAACCGAAACGTGGAAATCGAGCGACGTGAGCGCAGCGGGGGTGAACAATGCGAGGCGGAAAGGAATCCGATTCTGGTTTCGGGGGTGGGAATGGCAGAAGAAGGGGATACGGAGGAGATGATGGGCTGAATAGAGATGAACAATGAATATGTAGCCCGGTGAGAAAGGAGAGAGAGAGAGAAAGGGAGAAAAGGGCGCGTAGCAGCGCGAAGACGTCTGCATTCCGTTGATGAAGAATTCAATGGCGGGGTAGAGTACTCCCTTTGAGAGGGAGGCGAGGGCCATCAGGCATTATCTCTTTATTTTTTCGTTCTACCCATAGGCTTTTTTTTCGAGGGAGGAGAGGACGATTTTCTCGTCCTCGGCCGTTCTCTTTGCGAAAACAAAAGACCGTTCGCATGCCGACGTGCGTCGCTAACTTTGAAAAAAAGGGAGCCTGAAGAGAGATGGCCGCGATCCTTCTCCGCTAGCGTCGTTTCGCAATTTCTGCCCTTTTTGCATAGGGGTTTTTTTATTCTCATTTTAATTAAAACCTCGATATCTGCCTGGTAAAGTTCTCTTCGAGTTCTTAAGCGTCTAAATTGCACGAAAGATAATAACGATTCTTAACGCTCGAAGAGATAAAATCTGAAGCGAGAGTTCCAATTTTTCAGTGGAAATTTTTGGATAAAAATTTTTAAGTTTTCCATGATTTTTCCTTTCTGGCAGTTTAAAGATTTCTATGAATTTTACATAGCGTCTCAAGACTTCTGTTGAAAAGTATTAGACCTCTTAATTCTTATTGAGGTACAAAAGTTATGACCAATTTTCTTAACGGAAATATGAAGCCCATATCTTTGGATTCCTATTTTTTAATTCAGTTAATCGTTAGAATTGTTTTTGAAATGTGTCAAGAATTCTGAAACTTCTTGGAAGAATTAAAACTTTAATTGTGACTTGGCAGTAGTTATGCTGCTATTTTTGAAATGATTTTGATTACCCTATTGAACTTATTTTAATCTTGTGAAACGGATGTGGAAATATCAATGCTTTATGCGATATCATAGCATTGCAATTTTACGCAGTGTCGTATACATATGCATATATATGCATATATCCACAACATTGTACATGTACGCAATGCAATGTCTGCGAGGAATCTAGAAAACAATGCCATGAAAATGTAATACATTCGGGAACTTCTTCACATTGGTGTCAAGGATGTTATATCATAACGCTATTTAATTAAACTGCGTAGTTGCGCGTGGCATTTTTTAACATAATGAGGGACATAGGTCGCACGTAGCATTTCTGCAGTGCATACATTAATTGAAAAATGTTTTAATCAATAACGTTAAATAATGCGAAACTATTTTATAAGTTTGCTCGTTGGATGGTGTATCACATTTATTGCGATACTGTCTAATTCTCTCTTTCTGACCTTAATCGTATCTGATCTTAATCGTTTTTTTTTGTTTTTTTTTTTTTTGTTTTTTATTGCAGTATCTCGGCATTTACTTTCGATACGTTTTCCTCTGTGTTGCATCTCAAGTTGCGGTTCAAGTTAAAGTTCGAATTGCAGCTTAATGCCTCCTCGCTCGCCGCGCGTACTTCGACAATAAAAGCACTATTCCGTAACCATCTATTATTACACGCTTATTTTACCGAAGCGTTAACACGATCGATCTATAATTATGTTGGAATTAAAATTATGTCTACTTTGTCGATTATCCAGCTCGCTTTACCAGCCGCGATTAATTGTCGCCGTCGGTTTGTCTAATTAACGAACGCCGGTACGCGCGTAGCGGCCGACGATATTTTATTACCAGCTCGCTCGATACTCCTCGCCGTAAATTTTAATTATTGCCGCCATTATACGGCGGCCTAACGCGCATCGCGTTTTATCACTCGTCACATCCGCCGTAAAATCAGGAATTCGAGAAAGGAAATCGTAGACTTTTGACATTGACGTTCGATCGAACTTTATTAATGATAGTCGTTAGTTTTAGCAATCGCGACTGATGATCTCTGCTGAAAAGAAAGAAAATGCTTTTATTTTGTATTTACTGTTGTATTAATTCTTCGTGAGCGCGATCATCACTGGAAACTAAAAGAAGCAAAATGCAAAGTTCAAAATTATGTTGCTACTATTTAAGGAAGTGATTTATTAAACTTTTCGAAATTCGCGGACGTTCGTAAATTCGGGGTCTCGGGTTGATCGATCGAGAAGATATTTTTGGGCCGATGCGTCTGGCTTTGCGTGTACACGCTCGTTGATACTTATTCTCTCTCTTGCCTACCTCTCGCCGACCGCCTCGTAATTAATCTCCCACGAAGTCGATCATGCTCGGCCGACCTCCCCGGCGGGTCACGTCAACACGAGTGCGACCTCCGATCCCGCGAGGAGAATTATGAGGCGCGCTCGTTACCGAGCACGAGAGAAAGATAGAGAGGGAGCGAATGCACGTGTGTGGAGACGACGGGGTCGCTCGTTAATCTTCGCCCCGATAACGCCTCTTTCACGACGAGCGTACGAAACGTATGCGTTTATCGAAAGTTTGTTACCGCGAGCACCGCGTTATGGTGAGAGAGCCTCGAGCGCGCGACATCGATAGGTAGAGTCGGGCAAATGGCACGGTTAATCGAATTCTCGTCCGGGATAATTAGGCGTGCGACATATGTATCCGAGCAACACGTGCATCTCTTGAATCGCCACGAACGGAGATTGATTCGGCAAGTCGGTTGCGAAAATCCGACGAGAGGAGGATCGCTGCATTTCAAGCGGATCGCGATTACGTTAGACGCGCTGCGACATTTGTTTGTGTCAAAAACGATCCGCGCCCCGCCATGTCGGACGTGTTTCCCCGACCGTCGAGGTCAAGATCTACCACCTCGTAGATCCCGAAGTTAAGTTATGCGCGAGCGTAAATTTCACACGGACCTGGGCATTGACCTCTTGCGCTCTCTCTTTTCAGGTCTACAGCCCGCCAGCACCAAAGCTCAGCCAACCTCGATTGGCAAGTCCCACCGACCCAGTTCCGGCGTACTACCTCAGGGTCACACCCCGGGACCTGGACCGGGCGGGCAGCAGAATAGCAGGAGCTTCGCCGCCGCCCTGAGGAACCTGGCCAAGCAGGCGGGCCCGGCACCTCAGGAAGAGGAACCCCGTGCCAGCCCGAAGAACCGGGCGCCACCGCCCTTGGTCAGAGGTCCTTCCCCTGCTAAGGTGAGTAATTGCACCGGCCGCGTTATATGCCTTATCCTTCCTTATCCCTCTTTCTCGGCCTCTCTCGCTCTCGGGACAGAAGTGCATCCGTCTCGAAACGCGAACAAAGGTACCCTCGACCTCAGACTCGGTGGTCCCCATGATCGGAATAATAAGCGGCCGCTTAGGTACATAGCGGGCGCGGCTGAGAAAAATCGTTGACATCGGTCGTCTTTGGCTCCTTCTTCTCCTTTGCGACGTGAACGACGCGTTTCTTTTTTCCTTTCCTTTTCTCTTTGTACGGTTAGGCTGACGAAGAATATCGTAAATGGATATGGAAGAGCACGGGCCAAAGGAGGGTGCATATATTTGCGTTCCTTGGAATTTTTTGAATTTGCTTTTGCTGATGACGCGATTTATTTCACCGCATTACCGAGAAGAACTATTGCAATATACGCAGAAAATTTCTGAAGTTGTGCGAGCACCTCCTGCGAGTCACGTATGTTACAAATCGCACGGGAGAAAGTCTGTGTACGCGCGACAAAATATTTTTCGATTCACTCAAGGCGGAAATTATCTCGGCAGAAATTCAATTCGAAGCTTAGCGACCTGAAAATATGTTGGGAAATTAAAAGATTTTAATAGATGAATTTTTATCCAATTTTTGTGCGGCGGATTGTCTGTAATTAAGAGAAAGCGTGTGAATTCCGGAATATCGTGCGCGTGATATCTCGGTCTATTCTTCAAGAGTAATTGCTACCGGAAATTAATGCCCTCGTCATCAAAGGCGAAAGTGTCGAAGTGGAATAAAATTACATCTGCCGAATGGCGCGGTAGGAATGATTTCGCAGGCATGCGAATCAAACGGCTTCGAAAGATTGCTGAGTGTCAAAGGCGCGTAGATCGAAAATACGGCCAATCTCGGGAACGAAATGAAAAAAGTGGTTACTCTAGCGGAAAGAGAATAAGGTAGCTCCAATTCCCCGATAATCGTAGAGATCAAAGATCCTTTTCCTACCGCGACTGTATATCGTCCGCGCTTATTGCATTGCAAATGTGAGACTTTTCCGAGCCTTGGCTCCCGCTGACAATCTGGGTTAAGTAATCCGAACTGAGTGGTACGTTTCCCCTTTTTTTAGCTTCGTCTTATTTACAATGTAAACAGAAAAATTCAAATTTCCTGTATATCGCGTCGTCAGCAGAAGCGGACCTTCCTCTTGGGTAAACGGAAATGAGATTTTAAAAATAATCGGATGAATCGCCTGAGTTCAGAAATCTTGCAAAGCCCGTCGGACCGATCTGCCTAACGTTATTTAACATTTATCTGCAATAGTGAATTTTTTGTTTTGTTATTTTGGATCGTCCGAAGGTACGCATTGTTCCTACCAATTTCCATGACGAAGTCATCCGAGCGGCAATTCATTGCCGGTTCGGTGCACGACTTCGTTACAACGCCCGGCAATAAACTGCGAGACCGCTCGTAGCGTTTAAGTGGCGGAAGAGACTATAAGCTGAAGAAAATTTCAGGCAATTTGCGTCTTCGTCTAACGCCTTCCAGGAAATCGTCTTGGAAATATTGTTAACTCTCGGAATAAAACCGTGCCTAGCACTATTCATAGATCATTTTTCCCACGAGTCACAGTACTCGCGCATTTTTTTTTTAACTCTCTAGCTTCGATAAAACGCTATACATCATCTGTTATTTTGAAGACTAAGTGTGAAACGCTTGAATTATTCAGGTGTATTAAAGAAACCGCGTTATCGAGTGTTATCGATTACATCGTTCAATTGCCGCAAAAAAAAAAGGAAGAAAGCATACGTGTCTGCCGCATGGATTAAGGAGTGCCGTTAAATTTATTTTTCTAGGAGAGATCAACGCACGAACGAAGACCTGAAGAAATGCCCTCCTTGTATACAACTGCCAGACCCGTTGAAACCAGCAAACACAGCGTAACTGCCGCGGCTACCGAATTGCTGGCTCGTTCCGGTTTTCAGCCGTATCGGCCCGAGCACCATCCGGCCCATCCACCGGCATTCGCCTTGGACCCCGCGACCTATGGCGCCTATCATTCCGGTCTTTATCCACCGCCGCACCTGCCGCACGCTTATAGGTAAGCAATAATATTGGTTTAATCGTTTAGCATTGTCAAAATAGAAAAAGAGAATTGAAGATTTTAACATTTTCCTCTATTATTAATCTCTAAAGTTTTTCTTTCTAAAGTTTTAGTCAAAGTTTTAACTAATTCCGTGTGTTCTTATCGCAGATTAGAGGAACAGTTGTACTTCGAGCGATGTGGAATGATAAGACCGCAGTTGTTTCCGGGACTGCCATCGTATCCTCTGTACGGACTGAGATACAGTCCCGATATGCTTCCTCCGCCGCCCGCCTCTCTGGGCCTCATGTCTCCCGTGATGCACGAACGGTAAGTAAAAAGATTCAGAGAGAGAAAGAAAGAGAGAGAAATAGAAAGAAGGAGAATCGTTGAGCGAACGGTCGGGAATGCCGAACTTCTTCATTAACGCCGCGGCGCGGTTCTCCTTTTTCAGACTGAAGCTGGAGGAGGAGCATAGGCGGCAAGTACGGGAGCAGGCTGCAATGCGGGAGGAGGAGGAAAGGAGAAGAGCAGTGAGAAGTTCTGCTCCCGCTGCCCCGGTACCCGCGCCTGCCCCTGCATCCGCCGATACTGCAGGTGAGCGAGTCGCTCCACCCCCCACTGCCTTTCATTAAAACAAAAACAAAAAAAAGAAAAAGAAAGAGAGCGTCGATCGAAGCGCAATCGTGATCCGTCGTGCGATCACTCGTTAAGGCGCGCGAGCTCGTTCTATCTTTCTTTCTTCTTTTCCTTTAAGAAGTTTTCTACGGCGCAGAAATAACCGCGTGAATTGTCGCGTATTTCTTTCATATGGCCATATCCAGTTTAGTAATTTAGGTAGCATTTTCTCGAAGCGGTGCCGAGAACAGAATCTGCATTATCTATATAAATTGCTCGTTTGACACGCGCACGTTGTTTTGTTTAATTTAGTCCCCCCCTTCCGAGAACGAACTCGCCAAGAGAGATCGTATTCTCAGCGGCGATCGTCGTTCACTCGGCGTTCGAATGACCTGTATTGCGAGCCAAAGTTCTGTAGATAGACGGACTGGCGGCGCGAGCGAGGAGAAGTTGTTGTAGAAATATGACTGTGACCTCGAGAGAATTCGAAGAGAAAAGAAACAAACGGAACAAACAACATACTACGCTTCTAATTTTAATCTAGACTTAATGAAAGTTATAGTCATAGTTATACTCTCGTTTCTTACGCAAGTAGCGTTGATATCTTTTAGATAAACACGCGATTTGGAGCCGGAACAGAGTTTAAGGTGGATAAAGTATACGTTGCGAACAAACGAACGTCGAACGAGCGATTGCGAACTTGAAATATTCGTTAGCGTTCAGTTCTGGTCGCAAAGTGATCACATCAAAGAAAGTTTAAGTTGATTTCGCGTTTGCTTTACTTTCGTTGTTCGTTCGCCCAGTATATACCCATCTTAACAATGTCGCCCTTCGGCTCGACACCAAATTGTCAAAAGTGGGCTTAGTGGCAAAAAAAATCATTACTCATCTTAGTTCGATCCGAGATACGAACGAAATTATAGACGCAATCCAATTTTCCGAGACCCGATTTAGTTGTTTTTTATTTGCCTATTTACGGACCGAAGTCAGACTTATCTTCTGCTGTCGCTTTTTGTTAATGTCATGTTAACAGTAAGTCGGCCTTCGGTCGGCTATACACCTGTTGTGTACACGACGTTCTTTGCATACGTGTTTCAAATCTTTTTCGTGTTACTCGAATGTGAAACCACTTACTGTACGACGGCAGGTTTGTTATGTAGTTAATCGTTTTTGTAGTTAATAACAGCGAAACCTAAACATAAGAGTGCACGCCTTCTAAAGAAAAGGATTTGTTGAACTTCAACGTTGAGTTTCATGAATACTTATAATTAATACTAAAAAATTAGGTGTCCTGAAATTGACGGTAATTCCCCAGTTACAGGAGATATTTTATATTAAATGGAAAGATGACTACTGTTATATACGATAAACGATGTATTTAGATTATTTTCAATTTTCTTGATATCAAGTTATATGTTTCTTTATATATTATTATTGTTAAGATATGTGAGTAAAATTGTATATTTATTGATATTCTATGATTTGAGCGTTCATTTATTTGTTAGTATTTTTTATTAGGTATCATAAAATTAATTTTTTATTAATTAGAATCGTTAAACAAATGATGCATGTTTTGTGGAACGAAAAACACATTTGATTATAACATAGTCCACACAATGCACGTGCATATGTGGCTAAATATTTATAATTTCAAGGCGTGGACTTAGGTAGGTGCGTAAATGCTACAATTTAATAGACTAATTATTTCGATACCAAGTGTTCTTTTATCAGGCGCCATGCACTCTTGCGTTAGTTCCCGCAACTGTTTTAGAAATTTTGCAATTAACCAATTAATGTCAACATAGTTTCCCTTAATTGTATAGTAAACATATTGCTCCTCATACTGACTGAATCAACCGATGTATATAAACTTTATCATACATGTTCCTTTATCAAAATTATACCATTTTTATATATAATTTATTATGTAAACATGTATATTTGGACTACAAATGAAAATAAAACTTGCAGAAGATATGATTGCAATTTTAGTGGACTTAGAATTCTTGACCCTCAAATCATTTTCTGAAACAGTTTTGGGGAAGATTCCGTAATTCGTAGTCCGATTACTTTAATAATATGTATATTTTACTGCAATTATTATGAGAAAAGTACACTCGCTACTATATTAATACTAAGAGCAACGATGATAGCGATTGCCCCGATAGTTTAGAGAGAGACAATTGGTTAATTTTTTTTATTTTTTTTTGTTTATTGAAAATATGACAGTAATCATCCCCAATACTTCGATGCGAATATATTTAAGGATTTTTTATAGCGCTGGAATAATTAAGCGAAATGAAAGGTAAGTTGGAATAGATGAACTAATAATTACGAAATAAATTCGTAAAATTCCACGTTGCATACCGCCATTCTGTATATTAATTGCGCAGGCGTTTTTGTCATCATTTAATGCGTAGTAAATTTATTGCGGCCATTAATTAGAAATATTGTTAAAAAGCGATATAATTTGGTTGACATAAATCACAGCAAACTTTGTGAAACTTATAAGCTCGAGACAAAAACAATTACAAATATTTTCTTAACGCTTCTCCTCGCGCGCGAACTTATCATAAAAACTTATCTAAAAATATGACAAAACATTTCAACCATATTGAGATGAAAGCAACTACATTTTATACTAGATATGCTGAAGATATTGAAAGTTTTGGCTTATTTACACGAGATGGTGAAATCTGGCTATAGCGATATGTTGCATTTTCTTTATCCTTCAAAAAATCTTTTACAAAATAATTTTTTCTTCGGTCTCGTTTTAAACTTCAAAATTGTTTCATAAGTGACAATGGATCTTGTACGTACAAAGCATGTTTACAAATAATACAAGAAAGATTACAACGTATTGTCGTGGCCAAGATTTCTTTCATTGTAGAGTGGAAGATCATCAAGCACTGTGTTCGGGATTTGTTCCAGCTAGGAAGCCGACCATAGCGGCTCAGATGCATAGCGACCGGGACCGAGAACGCGACAGTAGAGAACGACAAAGCAGTAGCGGTGGCGGTGGTGGTAATAGCAGTAGCAACGCCAGCAACACTTGTGGGAACAGCACCAGCAACACTGGTAACTCCAACAGCAACATCAGCGGACCCGTTGTTAGTGTCGGTAGCAATCACCACCAATCCCGAAAAGAGGAGCAACAGTCCTCCGTTCCTTCGACTGCACCACCACCACCGCCTCCCGATCCAACAGCAGCAGCAGCGGCAGTCACCATCTACCATCCTCGTCTGCCACCCTTCCCCAGTTCAGCGGCAGCCATCGGACCGACCCTGGGTTCCACTTCTATATGCTCCGCCAGTTCTGCGCCCATTCCGCCTCCCTTGGGTTCCACTTTGCCTCCTTTGAATCTTGGACCGCCACCGCCGGCGGCTATAAGCTCGGCGCCGATCTGTCCGCCGATACCTTCCATCCCGTCCTTGACACCTGGTGTCATAGGACCACCGCCGCCACCTCCGCTGTCCCTAGGCATGTCCCTTCCGCCTATCATCTCCATTCCCTCTCTTCATTTGCCCCCCGTGCCGTCGAGTACCATTCATTCTAGTCAGCACACGATAATGAGCAGCGCGACTACCACGGTCACCAGTTCCATTTACCATCAACAGCAGCAACATCAACAGTCCTCGTCGCAACAGCAGCAGCAACATCAACCACGCGCGAACAGTACGAGCGGTACGACGAGTTCTTTGCCCGGTGCGATGACTACGCACGCGGTGCCGACGCCGCCCAACAGTTCTTCGTTGAACTCCATGAATCACATGGTGCATAAGTCCCCGCCGTTGTCCCACGGTATTCATGTACCCAGAAGCAAAGAACCGCCGACAACTACGACGACCGCGGGAACGTTGCCTACGACTGCGACCGTGACTACCACAACAAGCACCACGACAACGTCGCAGCCGGCTTTCGTCAGGCCCTTCGAGGACTCGTTCCGCTCTTCCTCGACAAAGACGCAACAGAGGCATTCGATAATGAACAGTCATAATCACAGTATAGTCAATCAGATCGGCCATCACGAGCCATCATCCTTGAAGAATTCGTCGATGACGCCGATTACTTCTCAAACCGTGGGTAGTCAGGTGATACAGGAAAATTCCTCGATGGACAATAAGTCCATGAGCAGCCAACAAACGATTTCCCAACCGATTCCAACCTATCCGTCACCTCAACAGTACCATCATCCACATATACCCGTCTCACACGTGCCAAGTCTCTACAAACCGTCGCATTTCTCAACGTCGTCGTCGTCGTCGTTGTCGTCACCTCATCAGCAGCATCATTCTCAACCCAAACTCAATATACCAACGATAAACACTAGCAACAGTAGTCATAGCAGTAGCGGCGGCACGAACGTCATTAATTCGACTAATTCGAATATCACAAAGCAACAGAACGCGCATCACGTCGGCGAGTCTCATCAAACGACGACCACGATGACCTCGCGAAATGATAGCGCGACTAATTGTGTTTCCAGCGAGAAGACAATGACCAACATCAGTTTCAGTGCTAACACTCAAGTCAGTGGCGGTAATAAAATTGCAAATAATACAAATGCGCATCATAAAAGCAATTCGGACGTCGCGGCGAAAGACAACAAGCTGAACGCGGGCAACGAAAAGAGCGTGAGCGAGAATATAATCCGGCAGCCGCAGTTGCCGAATCAGAATCACGTCGCGACAAATTCGCTCCAGGAAAAAACCGCGATCCCGCATCTGCCTTATGAACAGCAGGGAAAAAATTTGAAGCCCTTGCAACCGGTGAACTACAACCTCGGCGAAAAGGAGGGCAAGAACGAAACCGATTGTACCTTGCAATGCGATCAGAACAACGTCTTGTCCACATTACCGTTTCAACCGAACTTTAAGTTCAGCATAAAGGACATTGCGCAGAAGCCGATGGACACGACGCAGCTGATGCAGAGCATCAAGTCTGAGGAGGTGTTGCGCACTTGTCAGAATGTCTCCAATGTGCTCTTGCAAATCCCGAAGTATCAGGAGAAGCTCCTCAACTTCTCGACGAGCAACAACGAGCTAAAGACGACCGCGTTTTGCTTTACCGACAAGTGCAATAATTTGACTGAGATTTCCGTGAAGTGCGACTCAGCGGTACTAAACGTGCCTGACCTCAGCAAAGCCCTGGGCAAGCAGGACGTCACCAATAGCGAAAAGTCCTTCTTGATGCCTGAGATGCCGACGAAGGAGCTGACGTCGTCCCTCGATCTAGCCGAGAAGAGGCGTAAGCGGAGGAGGGAAAAGAACACGGGCGTCACGTGTAGCTCTGACTCGGAGGGCGAGGAGGAAACCAAAGACGTGGATCTTTGGATCACGAAAGGTCCGCCGGCCAAGCTACAATATTCGGAAGACAAATTGGCCTTCCTAGCCATGTTTGGACTGACTACTCTGACTATTAGGAACGGTAAGAAAATAATCGTTCTTGTTATGTTTCTTTACGTTGAATTTACTGAATTGACATTATCATTATTCTTACAGAGATAGAATTGTGTAAGGTGGAAAAAAGATATAAATTGAATCCCGATCCACCAGAACTACCTCTGGAAATAGAACCTGCAGTGGAGTCCATCTTACCGATTCCGCGTGAGCATCCGGATGTTTTGCTTCACACGCCAGATTTCGCGCCAAAAGTTGGCTTTCTCAGGACCATAGGTCTCGATATTATGCCTCCGAATAAAAGAGATGGTAAATATATTATTAATCAAATTTATATAATATTGAAATTTATATAATATTAAAATTACAGATATAAAAAATTCCACAGTTTTCTACTGTAATAGAATGCATTATTCTGTTTTTTGTATTAACGATATTTCTTCTATGAGATATAATAATAAACGAGACACTTATATCAATTGCAATTTGTGATTGCAGAGGCAGAAGTGACATGGCAGTACGTCCTGGCAGATCGCAAGAAACGGAAAAGCGCGAATTCCGTTACTGCCTACTGTGAAAGAATCGCCAAAGTTTATTCTAGGAATCCTCCAGCTTTACCAAAACCAGCTCAAAAAATGCGTCTTCTGGACAGAGTTAAAGTGAAACATACTCCGGAACGACCACCACCGTTACCACCCTTGGGTCCGAAGTATTATTCCACTTTACCTATGCCTGGTGAGAATGGTGTGAAGCAACATTGTAAAGCTATAGACAGCGATATAGACATCGTCGACGAAATGAGTGAGAAAAGGGAAAAGCCAAGGTGGACTGGAATCGTGGATGTTATGTTCGCCTACAGCGAGTATTTGAAAGGTGAGCTTCCTGTCACATTTAATTAACACGTGATACTCATACGATACAATGTAATAATATGGGCATGTATTTCCTATCACTTACAGAAAAAACATTGGAGAGGAAGATTCTGACAAGCGAAAAATCAAAACTGATGACACAGTCCGACAACTTACGTTCCGAGACTGCTCAGTTAGATCGGAAGCTCTACGAGCTCCTGTCCGCCAGAACAGCACTTGATTCCGAGAGGCGAATTCTCAGCGAAAAAATCGAGAGGATCAACGCACTTGTTAGGAAGCTTAGATAGCGTTGCGTAACGCACAACACGGAAACTCATTCATCTGTGATATTATCAGCGGGTTAAGGGCCGTTAGCGTGTAATACGCACTGCTAAACGTAACACTTAGATAAGTAATGGTTAAGGACAAACTCTTGAGTGACCAAATGTACAGCGATCCTTCGTATTGTTTTGCGTACTTTATTAAATAATATAAAACGCGCCCCCTTTTTTGCCGTCGACGATCGATCGTGTGGAGAAAGCGGAAATCTTCGGCTCTCGGCTGGTCCACAGAAGGCAAGCGATCGCGTCCGGCTTGAACACGTTACCGCACTAATTAATAGATATTATTTTTCGCATACGTCGCTCGACATCAGCGAGTGTGCTGATCTTTAATCATAAACGCGGAGTCATATCAACCGTACCTTACAAGGATATGTATAAAGTTCTAATTGTACAAATCGAATTGTATCCCATCCGTGGAAAGGCAGTTTTTACGACCGCGAATAAAAGGACGAAGGCTTTCTAGTTCTACAACTAACGGCTCTTACACTCCAAGCATAAATAATTGTAATTTGTATCATATTTTAATGAGAAAAAAATAGACAAATCGTGTAACTTATTTTATTCTGCGTAATGTGGACTTTAACGTCGAGTACTTGGGGAAAAAAAAATACAATGATATATCACGCAGTTTGTATGTCGACCGATTGATAAAGCGATGGAGAGGACATTGTATAAGATCGAAAGGTGGCATCGACTATATCGGACTGGCAGTATCAAGAAACCGCTTGCACGCAACAGCGACTACGTCCTTATTTTTACGTTTAGCATAGTAGCGCGTGTGGTGAAACAGATTTAATCGATTTGAATCGGATCGTAATAATCGGCAGGTAAACGAGCACCGGTTGCGTATCCGGTCACGAGGAGGGAAAAAATTCAGACGTTTTACGCGAGTTTTTGCGTTTTGATTCACAAAGCAACGTTATAACGACACGGGGAACTCTAGTCTACAGACGTGCCCAGGCAATACGGGGAAGAAAAAGATACGCGCGCCGATATGCATAAGATCAGATTAGTGAGCAGTCCTTCCTTTCGAACGTGTCCACGCCGTTCACCGTAATGAGCACGAAGGCCAGTGAAGATACGGGGAGGAGCCTTATTAACGTTGTATAACAACAACACTGCGGTACTTAGATAATGCGACTTAATTTTTAAAGAAGAAAATAAAGGGGAAAGAATAAAGATAATCGTGAGACTTCGCGCGGAGCACATTCCACATAAAAAAAAAAGCTTGTTGCCCGACCGTCAACATTCCAACGCGTCACTTCACCGACAATCGAATTCTGGAACTCGACGCGAGTCGAGTGGCGAACCAAATTTGAAAAGCAAAAAAAAAAAAAAGAAAGAAGCCGATCGCACTGTTGGTTTTTCTTTTCTGGCGCGTCCATGTCGCGTAAATGCGCTCTACTTTTCGCACCTCGGTATCCCTAAAGAACTTGTCTCCCGCTCTCTGCTCTCCGAGCGCATCGTATCTCGTATCGATATATAAATCGCACGCCGTAGAAAACACCACCCGCCCATACGGCGCGCGCGACAAAGCTACCATTTATAAGTTTCGCCGTTTCTGTTCATTGAGTGCCTAACATTTCTCCCTACATTTGTACATACCATTATTTTTATGTATTATGTAATTAACAAAGGAGGGACCGCGAGTGCGCGCCGGTCTCATTCTCAACTGGCCAGAACAAGAGCCTAGGAGTAAATTGTTGAAAACATGAACCACACGAGGAGTATTTCTTTCCGTACCCTTCATCGTCCAAAGCGTACCCCTTGCGAGTCCAATCTTCGAAGATGGAACGAAACTTAGGCCTCTGTGAATTTTTGTATTCTCGCAAGTAAAACTATTGTTTCCTCATATTTTTGTATCTTGAAATAATATTTTAGCGAATCACAGCATCTATGTTTATTACATTGCTTCGATCATGTGATATTTTCATGATTGTTTCTGTATCGAATTCATCTTTCGAATATTATTTCCGTTATAAGTCGATTAATTTGTTACGTTATTAATCGCATCAACTCATTTTTCTTACTTTTTTTTTAGTGGAAATGGAAATTACTGATGAAATAAGAATCCACCATGCGACGGTAGGTATATTTTTCTTAATATCGATAATTGCATCTTGAAAACGATAAAGGTGACAGTTTAATTCGATAATTTTATATTGACCATCTATATTATATATAATTATTAATTAATTGTGTGTATTTGATAGTACAGAATTACTCTACTAAGATATTCCTAATATAATCGTTCGAAAATTAACAACATTAAGAGAGTTTGCGGAAAATCGGACTCTCAAAAATTATTAGAAAGTTACTAGATTTAAGAAATTCAGTTCAAATTCAGTAAAAGATAATCATCAAAAGATAATTGGTTGAAATATGAAATGTGATCAGATAAAAGATGAGAGAAATTAAAAACTTCAATCTTTGCAATTTTATGAATTCTAGTTTTATTTGCTGTTTTCTTACTTTTGTGCACATTATGAGCAAGATCTAGATAGGACGGGATAAATAGTAACTGTTGCTATATTTACAGTTTCAGTCTTTACAAATAATCACTGTAGGTATAATTTACAGCTGTACAAACGCAATAATGTGATTTACGTTCTTAACTCTTTATTGCGAAACTGTATGATTTTCATGTGGTTTATTACGGACGTCCCGAAAAGATTAAAGAGGGATAAGTGAATTAGAGCTGATTCCATTAAAACTTTATAATTCATGCCATTAGCACGATGCATAATAAGCTTTAAATATAATTTCATTTAAAGTAAATCCAAAGTTACTTTTTTTATTAACAATTAACTGCATAGAAAAATTGCTGCTTATATCTCCCAACTTTATTGATAGATGTCGAATGTAAAACAATGTCGAGATGTTTGTTTTTCGCATTACACGGTACATAAAATAATAAATGGAAGATTATCCTGTATTCTGACGCGAATTATAGATCGTCTAAAATGAGCTTAAGCATTAAAGCTCGTTATAAATACATAACTGTCGAGTTTGTCGGAATGCAGGCACGGAGAGCACGCGGTTTATCCTTCTTATTATTTAATTTTAATATAATCAGTTGATTTAATTTATTATTTATGTTATTTATTTATTATTTAATTAGATCCATGAAATTAACGTACGCAACCGATTTTTACATTCGTATATATTATATATCTAATTAAATTATCGCACTTAAATTTATCACACACGAAATTACGGAATCTATGTAAAAACTTAACGGGTCGTAACAACTGCTCTATAGAAAAAAAATGTCAGATATATGAGGGAATTGTATGTGAAAAACATGTATTACGCTATCGGTAACAAATACATTTGCTTTATCAATTTTGGATTTATATTGTATACGCGTATACATTATAATTACATCTCAAGATTTATATTAAACTTTACTTAAGATTGATAAAAAAAAAAAACGATTGTCTACACAAAGCTTTTTTCGACAAAATCTCTTAATCGCAATGTTATCACGCGATCAGCGTGCTTGTTACAAAATTTGCGCAAAAAAAAAAATAGGATACATTTTTCTTTCGCAGGTTTGTTCTTAGTGCAGAGAAAAAGAGGGGGGAAAAGAGAGAAAGAGAGAGAGAGAGAGAGAGAGAGAGAGAAAGAGAGAAAATAGGAAACCGAGCCAATAATAATATATGTGATGCGCATATTCCTTTCACGCTGTCGTCATAATCTGTTTAAGTACAGTTTGTACTAATGTACCCGAAGTAAAGGATATATATATATAGATCATTAAATAAAAATTTGTATATTGTGTTTAACACTTTGTTAAAATACGATGCTTTTGTCGCGTGTAAATGATTTGTCGCTTTTAAACGTACTAAATTAAAAACAGTGAGAGATTTGCAAGAAATTACAACAAATTATATGTATAATATATTACATATATATATAACATATATTACATATAACTAAATGATTCATCTTATAGGAAGGATTTTATTCCAAAGACATTGAAAATGGATCTTTATTGTACGGTATTTATGTAGCAGACCAGTGTTTTCGTATTTACTGAAAAACAAAGAATAATATCCTTTCTGAGATGACTGCATTAGTTATATGTCGTCAAATCTTAAAAAGAAATAATCCCTTTTAACTCTTGTTAGGGTACTATTTTCCACTAAAAACGTTAAATTAGAAATAAACTGGTAGTTATCCTTCATTCGGAGTATCTTTACCTCTTGAGAATACTTGAAATAAGATCTACAAGCTGCAGTAAGTGAAGTCATGGATGGCAAAGAGGAAGTCTCAATAAAGTGCTTTATTTACACCTTGATGCAGTATGAAGGTGATAACAGTTAGCAGTTGCGTAGGATTTGAGAAATGCCGTAATTCAGAAACCTAATTCATTCTCATGTACTAAAAACTCCGGAACAAGAGTTCCGGTTAGACTTCATTTTGGAGAACCGTTCTCCGCGTTATCTCTAATAATTTAAATTACTATCGTATTGTCTCATCTTGACTAAATATCGAAAGTCTCAAATTCAACTTTCTTGAAATGTGGTGAAAGAGATGGTTCACCGGAATCTTCGTAAACCTTGAATTTCGACATACCGTTCGATCGGTATTTCCTAATAAAATGCCTTTGGTATCCCCCTCGTAAAGCAAATTCGCTAGCAACCTTTACCAGCAACGTGACCAGCATTCAGGCCCTAAGGTATCCCTTTTGGACCCTTCTCTTTTTCTGATGAGGTATTATTGATGTATCGTACGTCTCCGTATTAAAAAAAAGGATCACGTAAATCGTGAGATCACAACTGCTCAGATTCGAAGGCCGCGTTATCTATGCCGTTCATCATCTCGGCCTTCTGCGCGCTCTTCTGTGCGTCCATGATCCGAGGGTTCGATGCCTTCAAATTATAATCTGTCGCCTCCTCGTTCTTATGATTCATCATAGCTTCGGGTTCCTTCTGCTCCTTCAGGATGCGATCCTTTCGGTGCTCCGTGTACAACCAGCTGAAGGAGTTAAAAAATACTATTGTAATATATTACGCAATCGTAGCTGACAAACGTAATTCAAATATATAATTCAAGTAATTTTTTATCGCGTTTGAATCGGACGTATCACGAAATGATCGCAGTATTTGGCGAACGTAACGTATAATCGGCGCAACATGATACTCATATAAATCGGCGGATACTCACAAGAATGCAAACACCGCGGGCATTGTCATGCATCCTCCGGCGATGAAGAACGTCCCCGGAAACGCTTTCATGGTCGCCGCGTAAATGGCGCTGTACATTGGCCCGTAAACAAGCGGCATCAGGGACTCGCACACGCCAAACAGCGAATTTACCTTACCTACAAAATTACGTAATCGCGTCTTAACTTCGGAGCAGAGAATAAAAAAACGCGGGTTGGCTTTTCCTTGCCGTTAGGCCGCGGCAGGAAGGCCTCGTTACGCTTTGTTCGTGGATGGAAAAATTAGCAGCATCGCCACGTAAATGTAATTTGGTGTCCAAATTATCCGATTTACGTGGTTCCGACACAGACGGTGCTTCGCGAGATAAAGATCAAGCTCGAAAAACCCTCCTAAGTGCTACTAAAGTATTAGTATAATGGTCGTATAATTCTTATATTTGAGATCATTATAAAAACGCTCATTCTTTATATGCGCCTCTATGACGACCTCTTCTAAACACGACCGGATGGTGTGTCTGACGTTATCGCAGCTCAGTAGTATTTTTCCTACATAATTTTACACAGGAAACACGGAAACTCAATCAGCGAACTGATTGCTTCCAAGATTCTCGTTATGATATATATGCTTCATGTGTATAATAAACGAAGCTCTTACACATCCGCCTTATTTCTTTTTTCTTGAGATCATAAAACTATAGCATGAGAAAGAAACGATGGCGAATTAAAAGGGAACCATAATCTTTAATTTGCACCCTCTTACCGAGCTCGTCCGTGGGCACGAGCTTCGAAGCTATCGACCGCATGGCGATGAAAGACGTGCCGTTGACTATCTCCACGATAGCGGCTGAAACAGGCAATTAATCCGTTATTAGATACACTGTCGTCGGTACCGGGTGGTACCGGGACTGTAACTGTGATATATATATTTTGTATACGTAGTTGTTACCCTGATGTTAGCCGTTTTAAAAAGACTGACCTACGTAGACCATCCAAGTGGACGTGGCGAACGCGTAAACGAAACTTGCTAAAATTTTACTCGTACAGCTCATGATACCCACGATCGCGTCGTCTATCTTGAGAATGTGACTGAAGATACCGACGGAGATCGCGGTACCTGTGACAGAAAAGAAATATCTTTCACTCTTTCGTGCGTGGCGAATCGCCGGACAATCACACGAATAACGATCTTAGAGAATCAGTATAACGGACGAGCGCTGTAAGATCCTGCTTGATCCGTTAGTCAAAGAAAAATGCGAGAAAAGCCGGATCGCGCGCGTTTGCAAAATTCGCGTAGACAATCGACAAATAGAAAGCTTTTGTCAAATAGAAAGTCAAACGGAAATACCGATACAGTATTCGAGTACGGCGAAAACGCTAAAGTATCATATCCGCGAGGCAACTATGAATTCTGAAATAGATTTTTATCTTGCGCGCACGCAATTGGCGATTTGCCTTTCTATTGCAAAATACTCTTAATGTTCCTCTAATTTGTGTCGCCTGCGACACAGGAGATTACATTTTCAAGGCAACCTCCTGCCTGCCACGATTCACGCCAGGATAAAAGCGATAGTCGGTGATTCCGCGCTCAGCAACGATGTTTATTCTTACGTAAGGCACGTCTCTCGTTTGCTTTCATCGACCAATGAACGCAAAAAATCTCGATTAACCCGATGTGCATGTACGGCATCATTACGAGAATAGAACTAACGGGTTGCGCGAAATGGCAAATGGCAATCGGAGGAGATTATCCGCACCGGCGGCGGCGTCCGCGTTTCTACGCGTAGCGGCGGGGAATATACACGTTTCTACTTCAAAATTAGCGGCGAGATCAATGAATGAAGCGGAAGAGTTCGTTACGGAGGATTTTACGAGCGCTCGCGTAAATTTCTTCTCTTTCTCTCTTTCCTCTCGCGCGACCCATTAACGCGCGACGTTCGCAGGTGATTTTCTTACCGATCAGATTAGTTACCATGCCAAACGTGGAGAACATGCTGAACGTCACTTCGTTCCAGTTGTATCGGTACCGCATATAAAGATAGAGAACCGCCATTTCGCCTGTGAAAGAAACAGACTTGATAATACCATTCGCTTCTGTTGCATAATCTCCGTCTCTGCGTCTCGACAGGCATGATGAATCAATCGACGTGTGCAATATAATAAAAAAGTTTGACCTGACCCGCATTAAATGATCCACCATCTATGAGCGAGAGACTCTAACTATTAAGTTTTATATTTAATATTTATTCATTGAGCATGCTAACGACTCTCGCGTATCACTTCTTCGCTTTGTGACGATGAATAGACCTTTGCACAATAGATTCTCTCTCAGAACGTCAGTACTTAGAAAAATCTCAATTCGTGACGAGCTCGCTATTGTGTCGCTCGTTATCGAATATTTATTCAGGATTCATTAACTACGTCAGGAATCTGACGGACTTAGTCACTCTTAGTCAGCTTGCTCATAGGGGGACTACCCAAGGGGAACTTTTAAGATTTATAAGGTTTGATTTTTGCTTCAAGCTTCTCTGTTTGCGCTTTTAATTATAATTACTACACGCGCGGATTTGTAACGTATATATATACTTTGTCTCGGTACGTGAATAAACTATCGATAATCACGGTTGACTTGCGGCAACATATCGTATTTTACGAGGCCATTATCGTGAAGTTTCACATTGTTATATAGGTACGGAGATATTTTGCAGATTCACCCAAGCGCAACGGTTCTCTGGTCAATTACAAACAATTTTCACGATTACATCGGCTGCAATTAGACCGACAATTGCTTCCGGTAGTAATGCCAAGTTAACTGCGAAGGTCAAACGCAAATGTTAGTATTACGTAAAACAATCCTCTTTTGCAAAAAAATAGAAGACATTCATCAACGCGAGGGGGAGATGATGCGTACGGCTGTCAAAGATATATCTAAGTCTTCGTCATTTCGAAATGCACGCGCGTGCATTCCGGCAATGCGCGCGTTCTCCCATGAAACCGGCAAATGGCCATGTTTACACGATCGGCACGTAACGCGAGAAGTTACGGATTCCGTAATTCTTCCCGCATTAAAATTCGTCGCGCGTTCCTCATGCCGATACGGTATCCCCGACGGGACACACTCCGCGCTGGATTATAACGAAAATATAACTACCATATATAACGTAGTAGTCGTCGTCGTCGCCGCCGACTTTCACCGCGTATCTCCCTGACGAGCAAAGATCGTGAAATTACATCGTGAAATTACATCGTGAATATACAGCCACGTTCGGATCGCGATTAGCATAGGCGCTGACGTGAGATTGCGTACAAATAAGTGTGTCCATTAATATATTTTACACACGTACATACATTAAAATTTTGATATTAAATTATCATAAAGTACTTTACAGTATAATCTCTAAAAATAACATTCATTTGTCAATCTATTCGAATTTTTACATCTTTCTTATGCATACTTTGTTATCGTATTTTGTTATCGCCGTATATTGAAACTAATGATATCTCAAGGCAAGTGTAATTTTCCTCATTTTTAGTCGGTAACCGATGTGTCGAATCGTAATTGCTATTTCTCGTCATTGTATTTCTCGTAATTAATATCAATTCTAGCAAAAGGTTATTAAAAAACGATATAACTTAAAGTGTAAATAATTGAACAAATCTCTGACGTATGGAATATTATTCTTACGCTCATTTAAAAGTTGTTTTGTTCTCTATATCTGCAGCTCTCTGCCGAGTTTATGTACAGCTCCCGCGTGCTGGTTCGTGCTACAAAATTAAGCCGTCAGAACGAATTATCGCTCTTGTGAGACGTCACCGAGCGGCTGTGACGACAATGAGAGAGTAACGTCGAGAAAAGTAACGTCTCGAGAAGAGTCTTACAGGTATATATCCGCGTTACGGCATTCGAAATCAGGAAGACGCCCATTACCGCTGAAATTGTTATAAGCGTGACGACTGCCCGCGTCACTTAGCAGCTGGGGTAATGCGTGCTAATGCGTACCCAGACATTGTAACGACGGGGCTACCTATATAATTAAATTGTGACAAGGGCATCCGCGAAATGTGCTGGAATTGTGCGTCGTCGCCGTATACGAGCGCGCACGATCGCATTAAAGTCGCGATAGCGCGCTGTAACAAATGCACGCTAATTGAAAAATTGAATGATTCGTGTGGTCGCGTGCTTGCACGGGCTACTGGCAGAAACTGGAGGCTTTATTGTTGCCGATACCGTCCGGCATTAAGGCTCGCACGCTGGTACCGCGAGCGCTGCGCCGCTGTCCGTATCGGTATCGTAACTTTTCATTTACGAGCTCTTTGCGTACCGAGGCACGTACGTCCGTTGGAGAAAACTGCAAAAATAGATTTCGCCCGGAAACTGAAGGCGCGCGGCCTTCACGAAAACTTTTGCCGTATCGAAGCTTAATGGACATAACGAATGTTTGTTACTTTGTTTATCGATCTTTCGGCCTCTGCAACGTAGATTTACGACGTCCAATACCATTGAAGATTTATCGCGCGATATCAAGAATTCGCTTAGTACTTAAACGGAAACACGTTGCACTTGAATATTTTATTAGCGTTTTAAAATACGCGAATTATTCACGTATTCCAAATAGCGTCGATAGTAGCGCTACACGTTTGCGCTCGTATAACAATAATGTGTGTGCCTAGTTTTGCTATATCTTCTCTTACTTTCCCTGGCATACGATTTATATTCACACCGTTGGACGTAAGTGATTACTGATGGGAATGCGCACAGTTACCGCAACGCGAGTAGCAAGATTAAACGAGAATTACAGGGAGTTTTTATCGTGCCACGGACGCACGTGAGAAATGACGGATGAATATTATTTTCAACTGTTTTCCAGCGGTTTTACCATTTTTTTCTCTATTTAATTGTACGCGAATTAAATATGTTTGCATATTTGAGTTATTACACATCTCACGCGTCTGCTAGCTACTTATATAATGCGAGTAGATATTAATCGTAATAATTTCCGCTTAAAAGCGATTCAGTAAAGTGATGCATTTCCATGAATATTTATTGCCATATAAATATATATAATTTTATAGTTTAAAATAAAGTTTTACAGCAATGATAGCATTATTAAATCGCTCTGCAGTTTTATCAATTTATTATTTACGTATTTATAAAACAAAATTAAAATTTAGTTGTAAATTTCAATCGAAATTATATTAGCACCATTTTTCCAAATGATGACAACATCTCGAATTACATATTTTATAGTAAAGATTTCGCAATACAGTCCATTTTAGATGTAATTCAGAATTCAGGGAAATTATCCTGCATACAAGATATTAATTATCACATGGAACTTTTTATATAATTGATATTTGTCTATATCCTGATTCCTGAAATGTTTCTCGCATTACGCGACATATAAAATCAGAAATAGAAATGTGTCCTGGATTTTGATGTTAGTTACAGATCATTTAAAGTGGATTCACCAGCAAAAACTTTTTCGCACAAAGTGCGAAGTAGTGCAGAAAAGTATCGTTATTAACGAGGGTGAGATTATTAACGCGTGCAACTGTCGAGTCCTGCTTAGCACTTGAGAAAATATTTATTTAAAGAATCACAATTCATTCGGGCCATTTACTCACCGTAAAGGGGTCCGATGACGACCATAGTAATGACCATGAGCACGATGACCCTTTTCTGACGATTGTTCGCCCCTTTCTTGAACGACACGCGAAACGTCTCCTCGACGTGCTTCAACGAGAAGAAGTCCAGAACAAAGGCGCACAACGAGGTCCGCTTTTTACCCTCGCTCTGGAGAGATTTTTTCCGCGAGCGCTCCGTGAACGCCCTCGGCGGTTCTTTGATAACCACTAGGCCGTACACAAAGCTCATTACGTAACACACCATCGCGATGCTGAAGACACCGTAGAAACCCAGCTTCGTGTACAGTATCCCCGACAGTGCCATGCCGATCGGTACGCCCAAGGATAGGAAGACGTTGGCCGCGCCGATCCTAAGCGTTCTCGACTCCACGGTCGTGATGTCCGCTATGTAGCTGAAGATACCCATGAACATGGTGAACCAGCCGCCGGTTAACGCGGGCAGCACCGATTCCAGCACGACCACCTCCATGGGCAGCTCGTAGAACCAGTAGGTGCAGGCGATGAGGGTGACGCTGCTGAAGAACTCGCCGATGATCGGCAAGAGCATGCAGGGCTTCCTCAGACCGGTGCGATCGCTCCACGCGCCCATGAACAGGATCAGGAGGGCCGGTATGGCGCTCTGCAGCGGCGTCTTCCAAGTCTGCATCCGCGCCACCATCTGCTGAACCGCGGTCTCCTCGGCCTCGTAGCCGGTGGTGTTCCTGGCGGACAGAGCTGTGCAGACCTCGTCCGGGTAGGCCAGGTTCACCCGGCACGCCTTCTCGAGGATGAGATTCTGCATGGCCAGCTGCGAGAGCACGCTGGGGATCACGTAGCACGCGACCATCGGCTCGACGGTGATGTTGCTGGTCAGGAAGGACCATTTCTGCCGGATGCTCATGGACTTCCAAGTGACGGCGCTGTCGGACTTGTCGGTCACGGGAATCGCTGCTTTCTTCTCCGGGGTGAGCCCCGTGGGCGTCGTACCAATCGTCGTCGTGATCTCGGACATGTTTCACGTCAAAGAAGAAACGGAGTCGAGTTGATTTCTCTTGGGGGGAGAAGCAGAGTCTCTCTTTTAATTGTCCGGGTGTACGTTCGGTTTAAGATCATCAAGCTGCCTGGCGCGGTTCCTCCGAGGAACGGAGCTCGCGAAAGCCCTCGTAGGCGAGCGGATTTCGCGGTTCAGGTCGCTCGGCGTGCGCCCGAGAGAAATCGCACGGTGGTGCCGCGACTCTCGGCTAATGCACCATCGGGCATAACGAGACGCAGCGAGGTTGTCTGTCTCCTTCCTTCGCCGGTCACCGCCAGCACCAGCGGAATACCCCGTACTACCACCTCTTTCCCGAGCCGCGCTGTCACCGTTCGCTCACCGCGCTCTTTTCTATCGGCCTCCTGCAACGCGCAGCAAGCTGGTCCGCCTTCGTGTACATCCACCCAGGCACTAAGCACACGCGGTGGCCCCACACGGGGCAACGTCGCCGACGTTCGCGCTTAATCGGCTCCTCCGCGGTGCACGACACGCGGCTAATGCCTCCACGAGCGCGATCACCAGCGCGCTCCGGCGAGTCGCTTCCGATTCCGCCCCGCGGAAATTTTCGGGTCAAGGTCAGCCCCCCCGACGACGGTGCCCGAGGCCTCCGGGGGTCCTCCCGCCAGCGCGCCGCGCTCCCGGAATCCTATTCTTCCTCGGCGATCGCCCGGCTGGTCTCACTCGTTTTCCTTTCTCGACACGCGAAAAACATGGTGATCACCTTGACACGCGGGTGTCCACCGCGATGGAGCATAACGCATAACGTGCCGCCTCGTGCGCCAAATCTTTCCACGTAGCATAGAGTCCAATCCAGCGGTCATTCATTTAAAACTCAGCATTGACATGTTGATGAATGAACGGCGCGTCATGATTATCGTGTTCATCTTCCTGCCCAGGGAATACTTGTTCTTACGTCGACGAATGACGATCTTTTTCGGCTTCATGTACCTGACGATTCGACGATACATTGTTCCTTCTGCGTGAACGATCTAGATTCCCGCTGCTGATCCGCCAATTGCGCGTTACTGTACGTAGACGTTACTCGAGGGTTGTAGAAAGCGCGCCTACGGTGAATGATTTGCGCTGAGATCCCCGAAGTTTACCGTCACCGATCTCCCACGGTGCGAACGTCCTCGCGTCCGAACGATGTCAACGATTCGCAAGAGAGACTACTCACGAAACCGTACGATTACCTCGTGCGATCTCCGTTGCGTAAGCTTCTTTCACCGAGCGATCCATCCGCGGAGGTGATCGATCACGCAGCCTTCGGTCGTCCTTGACACGTTCCTCTCGTTGCGAAAATTCGTATTAGATGATGGTGGTTAATATCAGCCCGGCGTTATCCGAATGTGTTTCCTCTTCTATCAGGCGGGGAACTCCGAGCAGTCGCGTAAAGATCATTTTCGACTAGCCGCGCGAGACAAATTTTACGGAAACCACGTGAGAAACGCGAGAGAGATCGGTTTGGCTCCGAAGCGGAAATTAGCTTCGCCGGCGGCCGCGTCCGATGTCGACGATGTCGAACGGATGGCAACTGGTGAGCGTAAACAGGCAGCGTCGTCGAATCGCTGCCGCGCGTAACTCGACGAGGCGCTGTTAAATGTGACAATTCGTTGATAAAGTAATCACTACTACGCACGGTCCCAGCGTTCTACAGTCGGAGCCTATTTTAGACAGGGCCGTCCAAGTGCCCATTATCTGCGACGGTGAATTCAAAGCTATTCGCGCGGCTCGGCCTGACCGCTCCGGACCGAGCGGTTAGGCCGAGCCGCGGTTGCACCATCATCGCGGTTTATTTTCGCTGCAGGCCGCCTCGCGCGCGGATTTTCGCGCGGATGCTTCACCGTCGCCGATCATTGTCAAATTCCTCACGCGTTTAACCGGTTTCGTTCGCGCGGATAAGCGCCTTGCCGGTCCTACGATCGACCGGAGGCCTCGAGTCGAGTCCTCCGGCGTGGATCGCGAGATCCTCGAAGCTCGCGCGGACGCGGTACCGCGGGATCGAACAAACGAAAACCCGCAAGGTCGCATCCGAGCGACGAAAGACATCTAGAGGCGGCCCTGGCTTTTAAGTCTGACGTATGATGCCGTCAAGTGAGTAATGCTCGCAATTCCACAGCGATGCTTATAAAATATTCGATGCAGAGCTGTCACCGGCACCTCTCCCTCTCTCTCTCTCTCTCTCTTTCTCTCCCTCTCTCTCTCTCCCACTCTCTGTCTTGATATCCGACCGACGAGGGTGCGTCTGTGGTGGTCATTACTCAAGAGTCATCCTCGTCGGCCATCATGGCGGCCGTGCTTGCGGCGCGCGAGAGGTACGATTCTTTCGCGGTGACCAACTGGTTCGTTGTGCTACGATCGGCAGCGCCGATCGACAAAAGCTTAGTACTTAGTACATCGCGATAAATCGCCTATTGACAGCAATAATTACCACGGCCGACAAAGGTGTTTTATTTCGTTGCATTCTCGCTCCGCTGAACCGCTCGAGAATCATGGATTTTCAACTGGTAGCCGTGGAGCCAGTTAACGATTTCAATTCCGCGTCCAGCGCATAAAGCAACTTTCGATTTTTTTTTCTCGCAGCTATCGAATTTAGTGGACAGAAACGATTTCTCCTGTTACGCGTTCTCATCGGAGCGATACGATCACTTTTAGGTCACCAATGTATTATTTATTTTCCTAGCTCATTTGCCTTGTAGGTGATTCCTATTTCGTCGTTGATAACGATTTAACTAGGTTGTGTTCTTCAACATATTGCGCAGTATCATATCTATATTTTTATCTTTTAACAATGTAGCTAAAACACGAAGAGCATTTAAATTGGGAACGAACGAAATATGGAAAAAAAAGAAGATCATTTTATTTATACCATTTTAATATCGTATCTTTACTATTATGTGATATTTTTAGTGCATCAGAATGAAGATTATTCGTGTACTTATATATTTAATTTATGTAACGATGTCATACCATTAACAATAAGATAAATAAGCAATACAAATTACCCGATTATAGCCTCGATACAAGTTACTTACGTACTGTTCGTTAGAAATAATTAAAAATGAATATTTAAGATTATTTTTTCATCGTTTTATTTCAATGAATTTTTACAAATATTTAGAAAAACGGAGCATTTTGTTCAATAATTTTTCATTCAGTTCTTACTGCAGCAGCTTGTTTGGAGGTTGTTTTGCTTGACTCAATTAACTATACGGTCGTGTATAAAATGCGTATTACATCTTCAATCATCGGCCATCCGCAATCGAGTTAATGTATGACGAGTACTTCGTAATCCTTGAACGACAGCTCCTCGCCGTCGAACGGAATGTAGAGGCATCCGTGACTCGGTTGTACCTGAAGAAATGTATATTTTTTTAAATATATACATATAATGTATTTTTATAATAGCTGAATTATATCTCTCTTGTCTAAGAGAAGGCCGCGAAGGATAAAAGCGAGTTTCGCTTGCCAAATGCGGAGCGTAGATTGGAGAACACTTTGGCAAAAGCGTGCTTCGAATATCGAGACGTCATTCCGCATTTTCGAATGCTTATCATTACTGCCGAACCCCGAGATTAACAGCTGCCGAAAAGACCGACCTTGCCAAGCGATTGAGATCCACTATGGAGGACACGGCCAACATACAGAGGTTCTCCGTCCGCGGTTTGACCGGCGATTACCGCATCCGCTGGCACCTCACCGTTGCTGCAGAACTCCCATGCGAATTCCCCTTGGCAAAGGACCTGACAGTATCGTAATATTGTTATACATATAACAATTAATTATTAATATAATAATTGCTTATAACTACCGTTGACAATTAATTCTGTCAGCATTCGTTCGTTGTTATCGTTATTTTTTGACCAACAAAGATTATCAGATAGCAAAATATCGTTAAATTCGCCTATATTGAATCATATCTTCGTCGATACTTCCGAAAAAGCTCGATATCTCAAGATTATCTTGATTATCTAATAAAACCGATACGCTTGATCTTAATAACTCTTATACTTTGATTATGTACCTACTTATTGCGCGTTACGTAAGTTACGAAAATGATGTAACTGCTTTTTAATCGCTGTTATAAAATTAAAGAAAATCTTTGCTGATTTTTTAGAATCGAAATTAATTCGTAGAATTTTTAATTCAATGAATTATCATGCAAATCGACGATGATCTCTTCTGTGAAGAAACTATAATTAAAGTGATCTCAACAATCATAATTTTAGTGTTAAAAACGTAGTAGAGTAGTCCTACTTTATAATCGACTTGACGCGATTTTGTAAATCTTAATTTCTCATAGAACGATAAAGCGATGCAAGGTTGTTCGTATTTTGATCACGTTTTTCATAACATAGAAAAATTCGTCTGTCTTTGCATTCACCTCGTAACTGTCTTTGGGATGTTCCTCGCCATTGTGACAAACGTAGGCGACACCCTTGTCAAAACTTATTTTTGCCGGAATCATGTCGCCCTCATGGAAAGCTCTACCGACGTAAAGTGTGCTTCCGTCAACGTCACGACCGCCGGCGACCACGTTTTCTGGCATCGATTGACCGCTGGTACGGCTTACCCATCTGTAGGCTGTAACAATGATAAATAGTAAGATCGATATATTGAGTAAATTAATAAATCAGTCAGTTCAAACGTATCCACTAATTGTAAGTTTCAGTTTGTCGATGTTTCTTTTGTCGGTAGATAAAAAATATTACCTAATATTTAATAAGATATCTGCTTTTTCTAACAGAAAATTCATTAAGATAAGATAAAATGTAGAAACGTTGTAGATTTTCCCTGCTAATTTTTTTTTAAATTCAGATATAAAAAAAAATTATTAATTTGTTTTGTAATTTATTAATCTATTGACATTTATTAATCTATTGACTCGTTAATTTTAGTAAAACTGTGTAATATAATGAAAGTTTTAGTTCCACTAAATGATACAAATTTTGCAAATTTTCACAAATATCTATAAATAACTGGTATATATAACGAATATGCGCGTTACGTAACATTAAAACGCACCGATACCGACACACGTGTAATCGATCTGATAAAACTTCTCCAGATTGTTCTTGAAATCGATGATTTCACATGTCACACATATTATCTTTACAATCCACATGACTCACACATACTTCTAAAAAATAGAGTAACTATATTTAACGGTAGATTTCAGCGCATTTCTGATAAGAAATAATTTATAATCAGTTATTTTTATAGTCATATTTAATGTAGCTATTGCAACAATATTTATTCAATGTGTAATACAATGCAAATATTACACGTAAGCATATGATTCACGCAACGTGTCAAAAAATTATACAATCTTAAATTACTATAATTGTAAAAGAATCTACAAATTATTTCATATTATTATTAGACTTTTAGATTAGACTGCTCTCTGATGAGAATGAGAAAATTAAAATATACAAGAAACAACGACACTCGAATTAAAATATCCAATATAGCAAATGTCGATAAGAAATTGGAGAAGTTAATAAAATGAAAAAGCAAAAAGTTAATCTTGTAAATACAGAAAGGTTTGATATTATTTTAATGTACTTTAAAGAAACTCTTTTGCTCACCTGGCATGATGGAAATCGATTCGGCACGGCTGAAGCCTCAATACGAGATGGTGCTTATCGCATCTGTAGGTTGAGTTAAAAGCTCGTGTAATCTTATCGCTCACGTAATCTTATTTGCCGAAATATCTCGCTCGTCTCTCTCTTCCTTACTCTTTACATATGATACTGAAATTACCCAGAACGTATACGTGATATCACGTATTCTTCTACGCCTTTCCTGTCAATGTGTCATATTGATTACAGTAATACGATTACAGTATAGTCGCCATCAGTTCGATCAAATTTTATTTAGATATTTAAAAATATGCGTGGAGGGATACACTTAAGCCCCTTGCACAATAGGCGATAGCGACAGCAACAAAGTTGCCGACAAAGGTATAGCTTTGTCGGCAACCTTGTCGTTGTCGCTATCGCCTATTGTGCAAAGGGCTTTATTATCGAAAAGTGGATGTATACATATGTATAGCACGGACATGAACCAAATTCATCGACAGTATCGAAAAGTGGATGTGACTCGTAGTTTCAATTCCTGAAAGTGGATGTGTGACGCTACTGTACGGCCTAGCAAAAGCGTCCCAAGAAAATCGCCGTCATCCGCTCTTATCCTTCTCTCTGATATAACTCATGGTATTATATTTCAGTTGAGCGCGTTCAGCAGACACAACTGTTGAGTTCGTCTTATTAACACTCTGCGTTAATTGGTTGGTTCTAAAAGTAAGAGCCACGCACGTTCGACCGCTACTGAGCGGCTTGGTCTGCTGAACGCGACCATTAAATATATATTTAAAATTTTACATGATTCACGCATTTTTATAATCGTTATTTCTTGGGGTCGATTCTGTATCTTGGAACTAGGTAAAAATTACAAAAATGAGGAAATTCACTAGAACAAAATACAGAATCGACCTCCTTATAATCGAATTTCACTTTAAAGTGAGCGCCTACAAAACGGGTCGCCTCCTGATTGGTTCAACCTGCCGCCATTATGCGCATGGCTTCACCTATTTACACCACACACCATGCATAACTCCATATTCATACTCCATTACTCCATAGTCTCTTCTGTTTTTATTCTCTGAAAACACGTGGAGGGATCAGGAAGACAATTTTTATGTATACTTTAATAGAAAAGTGCGCATAGTTCTTTCTCGAGGATGAAGGTTAAAGTGTTGAGTAGGAATCCTGATGAGTACTTACGGGAGACTAAACGAGACATTCACAAAAGTAAGTCTACGTAAATTGCTGATCTAACCTGACATAACCTAATATAGCAGAGGATACAGCAATGATCATTTTGTCGTTTGTAGTCCCACGAAACTTCGATCCTGCTTTGCATCCCTTTCAAGCGGCCAGGGAGTACACGAAAGCGCTGAACGCCGTTAAGCTGGAGAGGGTGTTCGCGAAGCCGTTTATAGGTAATTTGGAAGGCCACAAGGATGCGGTGTCCTGCATGTGTAAACATCCGTCACAGCTGTCCACTCTTCTGAGCGGCGCTTACGACGGCGAGGTGAGAACGTGGAATCTCGGCCTGGGGACGTGCACGAGCTCGTTTCTGGCTCACGACGGTATAGTTCGAGGTATCACGTACGTGCCCGATGGAAAACACTTCATTACTCTCGGCGATGACAAGACGATCAAGACTTGGGACGCTGTCTCCGCTGGCGGAGATGAGGAACCCACAAATACTATTGTCAGCAAAGTTCGTAGCTTTCACATATGGTTTTCCTTAAGATTTGCCAAACCTGTGAAAGTATCCAAAATCTTTCGAGCAATTTCTTTTTTAGACAGTACTAACTGGTATAACTCATCATCGGGCCAAACCTGTGTTTGTTACATGCGGAGAAGGAATATGTCAGATGTGGGAGGATACTCGTAATGAGCCGCTTCGCACATTTAAATGGGGTGTAGACAGTCTACTTGATGTAAAATTTAATCCTGTACAGAAAAATCTCTTAGGTACGACATACGATGAGAGTATTATATTTTTATTTTATTCCTTTCATATGAGACATCAGTAAAATTCCAAATTGTCTATGCTTTAAAATGAAAGAATTTTACCTCTTGAACTTCCAGCCTCTTGTGCCAGCGATCGCAGCATAATTGTATACGATACTAGAGAAACAGGACCTTTATCAAGGATAGTGATGAAATTACGGAGCAACAAGCTTTCTTGGAATCCCATGGAAGCTTTCATCTTTACCTGTGCCAGTGAAGATTACAAGTGAGATATAATAGAGAAGGGATTATCGAAGGATAAGCTTCGCGCAATTTTTCCGCGAATCTCAAATACGTTTGTTTCAGTTTGTACACGTATGATATGCGCAAGTTGAAAACGCCAGTTAACGTACATATGGATCACGTGGAGGCCGTGATAGACGTGGATTATTCGCCGACAGGGAAAGAATTTGTTTCAGGCAGCTACGACAAGTCGATACGTATTTTCGAGGTGAACAAAGGCCACTCGCGAGAGGTGTACCATACGAGGCGCATGCACAGGCTCACCTGCGTAGCATGGTCGCTCGATAACAAATACGTGATTAGCGGCAGCGACGAAATGAATCTTCGCGTATGGAAGGCTAAAGCGTCAGAAAAGCTCGGCATTGTAAGCAATATTACGATTTCACGAGTTTACATGGGATTTAGCATAAATTATCGATAATTATCTCCCTGCCTCTGTTCCCATTTCTAACAGCTGAGGGCCAGAGAAAGAAACGCGCTGCTTCTGAATGACACTTTGAAAGAGAAGTACGCGGCGCATCCGGAAATTCGACGAATTGCACGTCACCGACAAGTACCGAAACACATATATAACGCGCGAGCCGAATTACGAACGATTCGCGAGAAAGGTAGACGCAAGTAAGTACAACTAAATTGCAACACTCGCAGATTCTTAATATAGTTTTGAACGGTATCTTAAAATATTGCTTTATTTCACAGGGAGGCTAATAAGCGCCGTCATTCCAAGAAGGGAACAGTACCATTCGTGTCAGAGAGGCAAAAGAATGTTGTCGGTCAAGACAGCTGAAGCAGCATGTTCTCGTATCTTTTTATCTGACACGATTGTACGCATCACATTTCAAGCCTTTATTTACCGTTACTCGTTGGTTGTCTCGGGTCGTCGATTTTTATACTTGTCAGACCTTACAGGATGTTATGTGACGGTAACGAGTACTTTGTATTATATTTATTGTAATAAATAATTTCTCTTGACATTATACAACGCATCGCGGTAATAATTTCATAAAACATTACAAACCTCAAGCAGTGATTAATGTCATGCGTAGCGTACATTACAACAGTTAATTATGCTGCGATTATCTTAGCACGCATTAATCAATTTCGTAATACAAACATTCTTTTTCGTGTTTTCTCTCGTTATTTTAACTTCCAAAAACGCTATTTTAAATTTTTTGCTCGATCCATTGGATTGCGCGTGTGCATGAAATTAATAATACAAGACACCTTTCTTTATATAATTGCAGTCGTGATCTTAAAAAACGATTTGTGGTGGATTTAATGATATTTTGCAGATACAGATATTTCTATGAGACTTCCCGTTTCGTTATTACAGTAACTTCGCAGTTCGCGTTGTCGTGAAAGCGTTACTAGGAACACATTGTAGAAGCAGAAAGTCACAGCGATACATATTCGCACAAATCTATTATACATATCATACATACGATTTCAATGCACCATATGCATCAGTCTGAGCTTTCTCGCAGTGCGTTTCTACAATGCGTTACTAGATATAAATCTCAATATAAAACTTCGTCGACACGTTATCAATGCATTCTTATTTGCTCCATTCGCTCAGGAATCGAAACCGTTATCACTTTGGAAAATGTAATATTTGATGCTACAAAAGTGTATGCTATGTCGCCTTTATATTCTCATATATCCCTGCAGCATCAAAATTTAATCACCGATATCGTAGCGGGCTTAATCTGTGCTCTTATTTTTCGTAATGAATGATGGTAGTAATGAACGATTTTGATGAGATGTTACACTGGCAGTTCAAAGATTTCGATGTAGTCTTAATAGCTCGTATATATAGTCAAGAAATTAATAATACGTGGTGATTATACTCGGAAAATTATTTTCTGGTGTATAAAAAACGTGCCACGCGATTTAGTGTCTGGTCGCCGCTGAGAATCGCTTAAATACGATAGTTATCTACGCATAATAGTATGAATTTCATTGTCGCAGCTATGCGCGAAATTTCTGTACAAGACTAGGATAGCTGAGAAACTAAATTATCGCCTATTATGGTAATTCGTGTTTCGCCGAGTCGAAATTTCGAGGAAGTTCTGTGTCCTCTCTTAGGCGTAATCGCATTTCCAAGATTCCATGCCGTTTACTAATCCTCTTTGACGTTTACTAGTTAAATATACCGTGTGGAAATATAATGCGCGAATGAGAATAATTATAACATATATACATATAAACACATGTACATCAATATTGCGATCAGGGACCAAAAGCGAAAAATATTTCATCCGTCTTCATTTCTTGTTTTACATTTCATCAAATTATAATAGAATATCTTCCAATATTTTTGTATTATTTCATTTGTGGAGTGAGAAATAAATTTGAAATTTTTATTTTTCACGTTATTTTATACGAGATATTAGTCGAAACATCTGGCAATCGAAATTATTTATTCCATTTTCAATTCTAAACGAGAACGAGCTATTTCTCTTTTCATCGAAATTTCGGCGAATGTTATTTTCGTTTTTGGTTCTCGATATAGCATCGGATTGCGATATACTATCGGGAATGCGATTAAATATTAACGAAAGAATCTAACTTCGACGTTCGATAATGGACCAGTTACGTCTTGATTTACTCCCAAGCTCGGACATTTTTAAGCTGTTCAACTCTCTTCGAGGTACAGAATATGTGACGCTCTCCTTCGTATTTTTCACATTTCAAGTATATGCTTTTGATTAATTATAACGTCTAGTCAAAGCGGAAGAGGTGGTCGCATTGCCTATTATACAACAGCCTTCCTGCTTTCGGAGCGATTAAAGATCAATATAGTTTACGTTATGTGTGACGATGATAAACTATATTGATCCTCAATATTCCTTCGATACATCTTACAAAAAGTACAATATTAGATAACCGTTTCAGTCGAATAAAAATTACTAAATCATTTTCGGACGCCGTGAAGCTGCAATCGAGAGAGGAACTAGATGGAAAATATCTTAATATAACACGCTATTCTGAAAAGAAGTTATCGATTTTTCTCTCAGAGAACATGTCTTTCACATATCACCTTCAGTTTTCTTTTGAATTGTCATGTATTTTTAATGTCCTTTCAACCTGACATTTTAATTATAAATTGAAATTTTTCTTAAATTCGTAACCTTCCGCAATGAATTGATTCGTTCTACTTATCTTCTTAATTCTCCAATCATTCGACTATTGCGCGTTTTATAACAAGGATATATTAACGAATCGTTTGGCATCGTTGCAACTGTCGGGAGCGATCCAAACGATAACAAAACTCGATTTACTTCCGTTTAACCATGGAAAAACTCGCAAAAAATATAATAAACCTTCGTAACGATCGCTTGAACATATAGTCCGTTTTGCGAAAATAATTTACTCTGATTGAAGATTCGACAGACGTCGATTGTTTCGCGCTTCGTCCGCTATAACAAGCTTAAAATTAATATCTCGCTAGGCGCGCGTGCTGTAATAAAGAAAAAATCGCATCGCTATTCCAGTCACGCGTCATATATAACACTAGGAGTTATTAAATTATCTACGCTACCGTTTCTTACCGTTATTAATGACTTACGAGTATGTATCACTTGGTGGCTGTGCGAGTCTTTCCGGAACATAGATTCGTTAACTTAAGCGTCGTCCAATGTGCGTTGCCGCGATCTCTTCGCGGACGACGATCGCGAGTAAACGTCGGCTTTTTACGTACAATTCAATGGCACAAAATCGATCCAGGTACAAATATACCGAACGGTGCCTCGCGTTCCAACTGGTTTCACATGAATCGACGAATCGCAGAAAAGTACGGAGAGAGATATATATAATTCTCGACGATCGTTCTAGACATTCAGATCGGCCATCATTTTGCGAAAATCCGCCAGGGTATTGTAATCCGGGTCCGAATCGATGTCCGCGAAATCCTTGCTGGAGTCAGTCTTGACGAAGCTCGGATTATATCGGCTTAGCGACAACGGGCACGGCAATAGTTCCGGCATGACTGAATGGTGAGTGATTAGCGCGGTGAGCGTTGTGAACTCTTTTGTGAAGCCCTGAAAACATACGACATTATTGATTTTACAGCGTTCATAGCTGTATCGATATTAATTCTAACGCTTTTCGAAGTTTATCCACTATTATCTCGCTCGTAATATCTCTGCTTTCTCTCGCAATTGTACAATGCTGTCGAAACGTTACAGTTTTCATCTAATCCGTGAAAAAATAAAATTAACAGAATTCTTTTTACATGTTATATATTTTTGCGTGTAGCGACAAATTTTTTGCTTTTTAAACACAAGAACGAACACATAAACTCCGTTCGTAGAAAAAAAATTCCACCACAAAGATGTTGAATATAATTGTATGTAAAAATATAACATTGTTTCAAGCTGGAACTCGAGATAATTCGGTGATTCAACGAGATGCTTTAACAGAGCTTAAATATTTCTTTGAAACAATAAAGAGAAAAACTCGTTCGATAAACAATGCAGTAATACCGTAACCGAAACTTATTGTCTCGGTTATTACCATGCGTACATTGTATTATTCAATATTATGCACATAAGCACATAGTGCTGGGCATCATTGTAACACGCGTTGCCAGGACAATGAAATACGATGTTAGTCGGTCGGCGATCTTTCCTCGCGTTTTCAAGCGTGTTGCGAAACACGCTGCATAACGAGACAACATTAAATGTATCATACATGTGCGCGCTGACACGAGCCTCGGCGGTATCAGGGCTATCGCACAACGCGGCATTCATTCGAATCTGGCGGTGTGCTTGTTACAGCGCGATGCAATTCCGCAGCCATTGCGAGGGAGAGAGAAAGCGGAGTTTTGATTTCCCCACGGCATCCGCGGCACATCCAACAAAACTCATTTATACTGGTTTCGGAGATTATCAAAGTCTACGGACTCATTTAATCTATGCTACGAAGGGGGAAAGTTCGACCATTTAAATACACGTATCCGAATGGGCTAAATGCGCCGGTGGCTTTGCACCAGGCGTGGTAGTCCTGAGTATAATGTCCGGGCTACTAAAAGCTTCGGCCCTTCGCGTATTAGCATCCCCGTGCAGCTTATTCCAATATTAACTTGCGCTTATATAGAAGGATTCTCTCTACTATCGTCGGTATTATTTCGAGTGTTAAAAAGAGCTTTCCTGCAGAACCGACGTCTAATTACGTGCGACCTACGAACGTAAAGATCAAACAAGCAAAATGTTTAGCATTCCGCTAGCTAGTTTGCTGTCATATTCAAACGGAATTGACATCAACTACATTCACATTTAGTTCTACAATATCAAACAGAATCTGTTTCGTAGCTATTTAAATTTTTAAATAATATATTAAGGAAATACATATAATATATATAAGATTAAATATATTTATATTCGCGCTGATATTTTGGGGATAAAATTTATAGCGGATACCTTGCGAAATTTATTTTCAGATCGGCTGTCTGGAAACGTACTATGTTTTAAAACATAATCAGCAGCGCGTCTGTCAAAACAATCAGTGGCAGTTATTCTCGGAACGCTAAGCTGTTTGCAGATTTTAGTTTTTTCTTTTATAGTCCTTTGACGGCAACGCGGATAGTCTCCCTTCGCCGACGGGAGATTCGCTTTGACTTTCGCGAGCTCCGCTCTCGCGACTACTTTGAGACTCGATACTCGGCGAAGAGCTCAGTCGAAGACAGAAAGAGAGACTTACTTTGATTTTGTAACCTTTGTTTGTACGCATTATGAGATAATGGGCTATTCCGCTCGGCTGGAATTCACGGGGCACACGGAGGGAGAGGGCGTAACATCCGGGCTTGCTGGTACTCTCCCGCACCATAAACGCTCCTTCTGGCTCTTGGCTCAATACCTCCAGCGTTATCTCTCTGAAATCACGGTTCGCATACGTTAATGATAGATGGGCGGGATGTCTTTTCGTGCGGGAGAAAAGCAACGGAGGACGCGCGGATCGGATTTGCGTGCCCCAGTCAAAAAGACGCCGCGGCTACTGGAAACTGGACTGTGAACTGGATCACCCGACGAATATTTAAAATTAGCCAGAGGCGACCAAGCCAGTGCTATTTTGGCGCACCAAGAAGGCACCGCACGCGCGCGTATGTGTCTGAGTGTGTATATGTGCGTGTATATATTTTACTCCGACATGCAGTAATGTCGCAGAGACCAACCTGGGTATTCCAGCTTGAAACCAGGGCGCCTTGCGTAGCTCGGCCTCCTCGCTTCGATTATTCAGGCTGTCTGTTCTCTCGGGTAAAGGCGGCGGGGTTGGCGTGGAGCCATGAGTGCTTCCGTCAGCGGGCACCGAGCTGCTCGACGTGCTAATTTGCGATCTTCTTTTCGACTTGAATTCCGCCTCCGTGCCCGTGTCCGGGCAATTGTGCCCTATCCTGAAAATGAAGGAGCTTGTCGTTCACGATTCGTATACCAATCCCTCGACGCTTCCGGAAAGGGGGCGCGAAGGAGGGCGGGGGGGGGCAGAGGAGGAGAGAAGGGAGAACGGCCGGACTTACCTGTTGTTCTCGATGTTGAAGTTCTTCGCGTTGGTGATGGACGCGTTGATGGTGTTGTCGAGGCTCTCGGACGGCGGGATTTTGTTGTATGACGGCCTCGTACCCTCCGAGTCGATGATCGCCTCGTTTATGTAGCCCCCGGAATGAGGCCTGTTCGATGGGCTGGTCGGCGTGCTGCTACCGCTGACGAGCGGGCAGCTGTCATCCTCACCGTTCAGCCCAAGAACGTCGCGTCCACCTGTCAAACCCATCGCCAGCCGCTTTATCAGCGGCGGCTTGTCCGTTAGCCTCTTGTACGAGTTTAACTCCGTCGGCGAGTTGCTCTCATCGCTGCTCGGCGTGCTCTGCTGGGATATGCTCTTCGGCTCGTCCACGTTCGTTATGGGCCCGAGGACGTTCGTGAACGACGGCCGCAGACCCGGGATCGTGTTCGGCGTCTAGAATTATTCCGAATTCGTTCGTTCAAGCGCGATCGGGAGATTCGTTCGTCGGGATATAAACGTGTTTCGCAAAACGCGTCACGCGAGAAATGGACGGAGCTGCGACATTAAAAGAGACGTGGTCGCGTATAGTCGGGGTCGACGCGGCGTTCTGCGAAGTTAATTTACTCTAAGCTGCTCCCAGACGGGCTAATTCGCTTTCGCGTAACATCGTCCGAGCGTAATATAATAGCGGCCAGGTTTGCTCACCGGTGAATATATGTATATATGTTACACTTGTATGAAATCACCTTTACGCTGGCGAGCCGCAGCGTGGGCGAGCCGGCGCTGCCGAGCTGCACGTTCATATCCGCTGCGGACGGACCCCTTCCAGTCCTGGAGGTGGGCGACGTCCGACTTTTCAGCCACGAGTTCGACGACGGACTCCTGCAAGCGCCCGCGGCGATCGTGTCGTCTGCGGGCAGTGATTTGTTCTGCAAACGAAACGGCGGGTCATTGCCAAAATTATATCCCGCGTCGCGAGTGCGTGTACTTAAAAGAGGTCCTCCGATTATTTTTCCTCAAGATCGGCCGATTCGTCTCAAACGCGCGCAATCATTGCCTTAAATAGGGATTCCGCGGGGTCCGGGGTCGCTCTTGGACGAATCGTTGATTAGGCAGAACCGTTGGAACGATCCGGTCTCTTCGGGATTCTCCCGGGGTTGAATATTTGATCGGCGGAATCGCACGGTTCCCAAGACGATTTTGCGGCGAGGACTATCGGGCGGACTGTAGCGGACTGACCGTTTACTTGGAAACGCGAGGCGACGCGAGACGACGCGACGCGAGGCGGCAAACGAGAGACTCGGGTCGAATTTATAATTAACGCGGCTTGTAAACGGGACACCTACTGGAGTCGGTGGCCCCCGTAAGACCACGTCGGGAGAGGACACGGTTGTCGTCGTTGTCTGTTTCGTCTCCGCGCGTCTTGGATATTTAAGAGAGCTCTTCCGCGAGCTGCTCCAGCCGTTTCCTTACTGCCGTACGTGTATGCATCTCGAGTATCTACTCTGCTTCCCGGCATATAGCAAACGCTAGCCCATCTGCTCCAATAGCCTCCGGAGTGTCGTGCACGCGAGGCCGAAGAAAAAGGAATTCAGTTGCGCGACTCGGATAAACAATCTCGGTGATTTCGACCCATTTTGCAGGAAGTCTTTGAGACGAAAAGTTATAATGAATCGTAATAAAAAAAAAAGACTTTGGACTCTCGATAATAAACCAACAAATTGAGGTAATTAAAGGGCTATGAGAGTACAACGCAGTTGTTGCTGCGTAATTTTCAGATTACAACAAATTATTAGGTTCGACGATTGAATTGTAACGCGTTCTTTGTTAATTGTGACATTCCCAGATAATTGAAGTACCCCTTGATTTCACTTTCTATTTATTTTGCGTAGCGAAATAAATGGCCGCGACACAGCAGGCGTAATCAACAAGCGTAATCTTTAAGAAGATCTCTCGCAACTGTCCGCTAATTGCTAAAACTACTTAATTGCAATCTACAGCGCTTTTGTGAGAAAACTAGCAGATGGCACGATACCTAACCGGCCTGTAAAGTTTAACTCGACTAACTCTCTCTAGCTGATGGCGACAAAAATAAATGACTTCATTAGCACTTTAAATTACACGCCGTGCCCCGTTTTATTCGCCAGCAAGATAGCGCTGATAACAATTCGTTTGTGTCTCGCGTAATTCGCATTTTCTCAATTCGTTTATTCAAGCCGTCAATCACATCTGTCGTTTCGATAGGTTTGAAACGTACCCACGACGTTCGATGCTCCTGCTTGTCCTTGCGATAGGATGTCGTCGATCGCGGCGAGATTACATCCTGAAGGATCGGTTGGCGCTGAAGCTGCGCCACGTACGCCATGCGGAAAGCATTGCCAACGATGGTGTTCAGCTCCTCCGCCTGCAAGCAGACAGAAAAGCTCGAGTTCCGGCACGAATTTTATTAAACACAGCATTTTGCTGTCTCTTTCGTAATATCGCTGACGCAATCCGATTGCGGCCGCGGTTCGCTGCTTTTCAGTTTAATTACGCGGAATATTTCCGCGCCCATGCTCCGCGCGACGAATTAGTCCACGCAATTAACTCTTTGAAAAAAATAAATAAATATGCGAATTACGTACAAGATACTTACGATTAAAACTTTACCGAGCAGAAATTAGTCTTTCACGTAACATTAAATACGATTTGTAAGATTATCGAAAAGGTTTAAAATGTATGTTGTTTCCAGACGAACAATTTTTGCACTGTATAAAGCTGTTTTCTAAACTAGAAGAGAAGAACTTATTCGAGAGATGAAAGAACCTAAGAGAATTGGTCACAATGCCAAATGCATAAAGTAGAAAAGAAGATTATATTGCTTGCGCGTTGTTGAACATCATTACAAGCATCTTGGCGCGAATTTAGGAAAATTTACGGCGCGCAAAAATAATACTTTCGTTGTACATCAAGCCAATTAGATTTTTATTCCGGATTCGCCGGTGGCGGAGAAGAACCATGCGGTCGAGTTGAAGAGCAGACTGTCGCGGCGCAAAAGCGGAGTCTGAATGTGTAATAAGCACTCGCGGAGGAAACCGCGAGCTTTCGGGACCTCGGTCTCGCTCATATGCGCGTTTGGAAAGTTCCTGCCTGAGTGTGCATACGCCTCGCGTTTTGTGCGCGATCTACGGGCGCGCGCGCGTTTACGAACGGTCACGCAGACATACCCTCGGACATACCAGTCAGAAGTGGGAAAAAGGTCGACGAGGGGCTATCTCTCTCTCTTTTCCGAAAGCTTCGTCTCTGAAAGTCGCGACGCGATGCGTACCCAGATATCATTAATGCGCACGCCGGGGTCGACCCGACGCGAGACTTAAAGGTCTAAAGAGAAGCATTGTACGCGCGCGGAGACGGACGAGAGCGGCGATTAACGTCGTCTCGTCCGTCCAACTTTTCCTTTCACGGTGCACAACCGCGGCGCGAACGAGACCGCCGCGTCCGCACCGTCCGGAGAGATATTCAATCGTTTCGCGTCGTCGCGGGTACATCTACGTACATACATCTCGGATTCCAACTCTGCATACTTCGTCTATGTAGTACCCCGCCTATGTATCCTCGTGACATTGTTACGACATCGTTGCAAGCGACGCGGAAATCCTCGTAGATCCCGCGGCTTGGGTTCCCGCATGGCCCGTAAAGCAAGGAAATACGGTTCGTCGGCGAAATCCGCGCATGCGACGAAAATGCAAAAAAAAAAAAAATAAACGAGCGGTAGGATTGCGAAGCCGAATGCATCGTGCTGTATTTTCCAATGATGCTATATATCGATTTGCGCGAGCTCTCATCGCCGCGCTTTGCTACAGAAGTCCCATTGACTCGGCGGAGGTTTCGACTCTTAGATCGGTCATTCGACATGGCGAAGGGCCGAAGCGAATAAAAAAAAAATAATGCAGGGGAGGAGGTAATGCGTTTTAATGAATAAGTGCTCGTGCAGGACAATGGTAGTCGAGCTTTTGTATTAAAACGCGCGCGGCAACGTTCGCTCGAATAATTTCATGGTTTGCGGTTTGAGGTCAGGTCGAATGATTCCACTAGCTACGAGATATTTCAATTACGTTTGCGCGCGGGGTAAGGCGATGACTTGAGCTATAATTGCGGACCGGACGCACGGCCGGTTCCGTAACTGGCCAAGTCATATCCCGAGCGTTCTCTTCCGCCGCTCCAAGTGCTATATGAATCGCCATTTACTTACGCAATGAGTTCTCTCACCACTAGAAACGTATACAGGAACTTTTCTTTTAAGAATGTAGAAAGCACGATAATGTCTGCCGTTGTATCAAAGATATATTCTTTATAAAAACGCAAGATCGCTTGAGACATATTGGTGAATATGTTTAACACAAATTATTTGCTATATGTCGATTAAATAACCTTTCCCTCATTGTTTAGAAAAAACAAAAATGTATTACTATACTACTTTAACCCGGAAATGGTTTCCGAGGTTAATTTTTACATGCCAGTGTCCAAAAAATGAAGCTCACGTTACAGTAACTTTAATTTTTGAGCTTCTTTTATTTTTTAAATATTTTTTGGTTTCTGCTTTTCTTTTCCAGAAAAAAACATTGAGTAAATCTATAATACATACTGTCCTCAAATAGTAATAAATTATAGAACAATGACTTTTAATTAGGGTGCAAAAATCACTCCAAGTGACCGTTTATGCAAAAAAAAGAGATGACCATAATATATGGCGGGTTAATGGCGTGAACAGATTTTTCTCAATCAGTTGTTACATCTGAAATATGAAACGTGGTAAATTCATGCGCATTCTGTTACTCTATAGCTTCTTTCATTAGTATTGCTATTTTTATTAGGTGCGTCGTGTGCACCAAGCGTCAAGATGCAAAACAGCAGATACCATCAATGAAATAGCGCGTATACTTCACAACGTGGGAAAATCTGAGGACTAATTTATCGCGGGAAAGAGCGCGTCCCTGCCATCAACGCCATGTTTCACGGAAACGTGAAGGAAAACGTCCCGGCAATGGAGGCTCGCTCGCTCGTTCACGACGAGGCAGAGGATCCTGTCATAGGGGAGAATTTATCGTCGCCGTGGGCGGGAACGTTGGACGCGGGGGATCGTCGGCTTGGGATCCCTCGACTTCGACCCCCTCCTCCTCCGCCCCCGTGGCCGAGAATCGAAAATACGGCCCTGAGATTCCCGCCCCGAGGTGGAATTTAAGCGCGATGAAATCATCACCGGCGACTCTTCTTTCTTCCTTTCCGCTCTACCCTGTCCTGTCCTGGACGTTGACTCGAGCAGGCACTGACCCTCTTCACCGCGTTTGGATTCAGGCCCGTTTGATCGATCGGCGGCGATCGTGCCGCCGCTACCGCGATAAATCGCGACATCCTTTGCGCTTCCTCGAGTCGCGGACGCGATCGAGGTCTCCGTTGGCCAGCGGAAACCCTCAAGATGAGCGCGTGCCAAAAAGAGAGATCGACTTCCATGGGTCAAACGTCGCCCGATAGAATGTTACGCAGATTTGAAGAAAAAAAAGGGGAAGAAAAAGAGAAGATACGACCTCGGAGGAGCTATTTTAGCTCGCCCGAGCAGAGCCCGATTCGCTGTTTGCGCCGGCAAAAAGACGAGGGACACACCGGAATCGAATGGGAAGGGGACCGAAAGGGCGATGGATCGCGCCGTGGCTTTGCGCCGGTGCAGCGTGACGGGCTACATTCCAAGCATTCCGCGCGGTCACGGCCATATCTCCAGCTCCTCTAGATTTCCCGTCCCGCATACGCCCGGTCTACCAACACCATGCCGCGGTGTACACGAGCCGGGTACTCGCAATAATGGCGCTCGGATGGGGGGGGGGGGGGACCGGCCCCCTCGTCGCACCTCTGAAATTTCACTCGCTTCGGTTTCTGGTTTACCTCGGACGTCGCGACGCTCCGGGTCCCCCGGGTGTAAATAGCCGAGGAAAAGTTGGTAGAGTACATATACGAAGTACACGGACGTTTCTCACCGTGGCGTCATTATGCGCCGCGCGAACCGACACGACCATCTTGGTACCGTCGCTTCGCGACCAGCGCCTTCGTCATCGATGGCGACGGCTTAACCGCGCTTTCACATTCACGTCGCTACCATAATTCTCTATCTCTCTTTAATACTAACGTAATAATGAAATTAACATCGTAATAACTAGGCCCCTTTTATCCAGTCACTCGGCTATCTTTCGATTTGTCTGCGCAGATGCTGTCGACCGTACTGACGTCGCTGAAGATGACGCGAATCTTACGAATTTGTGACATCCCCGCTGTGTCTCGTGTCGCTTCCACAAACATTAGTTAAAGTTAACAGAGACCTAACTGATTTTCTGTCATTTTCATTCTCCGTTTGTAGAGAAGAGAAACGAGATCACGTGCTCAAGGACTGTCAGGCTCGTGCGATCGACGAATCAGATTAAAACAAGCATGAACAAGTTCCGCCTTCGGTGCCACGGGCTTCTGCTCATGACAGGCACGGTAGTTTCGAATGTCAAATATTCGAGTCGCACCGTTACGCGCCGTTATATCGATACAACCGGGATCCACTGCGTCAGACCCACTGACGAAATAATTGTTACGACGTTCAGGACGATTATTCAACGACGCTAAAATCTATTCTTTCCGGAAATTGAATTAGAATAGGCTTCAGAGAAAAACATCTTCCTCTTTTGAAGGGAACAAATTCACGTTCGCATGATAATGAACATGCAGCGAACGTACCACTTATCTTCCCTTGATTGTGTTCACGAATGTCAGAAATCGATCGTTTCTGTGAAATAAAATTATCATTCGAATAGCAGACTACGAAGAAAACGGATACATTATTAAAGAAATATAGCGATCGATATCTGTATAATATAGAATAAATAAATATTGACATTTTAGGATGGAATCTCATAGCCTAATAATAATTTTTGTGAATTTTATACAGTTCGCTTTTACACTTTTGAACCACGCACCGATTATCATTCGAAACTGCAGCAATTTTAGCTATAGTTAAACCTGGAAATGTATTATCACGTTATTAAGCCAATAATTATTTTAGTATTATACTGACGTTTATAAAAATCTTATAAACCTGCAAGGAATTTATCGCGGAAAGAATTATTCCAGCCAGAATTCGAACCCGGACCTCTCTGGGAAGCGAGTAATTAGCAACGATAATTTTGGTAATGGCTCTGTGCTTTTGTACTCTGCGAGCAAGCCACAAATCCATACGAGAGGCTGTACAACCTTGTTGGTGCATAATGCCGAAATATCGTTTGACCGTAGAGCGAGTAGGTACTTTGTTCGACGTAACGTGAAATCGGTCGAAGATTGGATCGAATATAGCTAGAGAGATGTGCATCGGTCAGGGAGCGCAGATGAAGCGCGACCGTTGCATAATCTGACCCTTTGATCAGCAATTAACGCCGCGACTGAAGCCTGCTGCTCGTTTCCATCTGTTTCATATCTAACAGACGCGATGTCAAAATGTTACTAACATTGTGGCTACCTTCATCTTCGTTATACGTTATACGGCCGGTTGACTTCTGCGACAAATTCGACTGTAACGTTTATATGCATCAACTTAATGCATATTCCTTATATTCTTAATATTGATTTAATTTTCCTAAAAAGTTTCAGCGCAATTTTCCTGATAAAAAAATAATCATCTTTCCATTACGCGAATCCATTATTTGTAGTTTTCTGTTAGTAAGTATGTAACACCATATCTTGCTTGGATATTTCACGTTTCGAAATCGTAGGAGATAATCGGACCGAGTTTTAAAAATTACTAAGTTGAAAATATGTAGCACACGACTAGGTAGGATTTAATAAATCCCAGCTAATGTGTAAGAGGTTTAGTCGAAATAATATGTTAGAATATTTTAAATTAGTTTTGATCTTTGGATCCAAATTCTATCAATAAAATTGCTAAAAATTTTCAAATATTTTTACAATAAACTTTACAATGATAAGTTCAAAGTAATTGTGAAAATAATATTACCTTTTATAGTACCTGACGTTAGTTACATTTCATCTTAGTAACGTCGAGTTAACAGAAAATCATATAAAAATGTAAAGGAAGTATTTATATACTAATTGTGCAACTAATTCTCATTAAAGGATTATTAGCGTGGAACCCGCGTATCAAGTTGCCTAAATGAACGACTGGCCTTGATTGGCTTTACTCTCGCGATTCGTCGGCGTGGCTTATCGTATGGGGGCCCTCGACAATGAGCGGCGAGCTTAAAGACGTAGTGATGCGTGAATCGTGAATCACAGTAGGACAATACCGCCCACTTTGTGACCCGTACAGTTTGCTACTGTACCCTTGAGCCCCGTCATTAAACCTATTTCGGTGCCTCCAGAAATGCACCCTTGAGGACGCATGCGATGCGCGAGGAAGATCACGCTTAGCTCCAAATTTCTCGCCGCTCGAACTTCCTGCTTATCGAACGCGCGCGGCTTCGACACAGTGAGATTCTCAGTGGTACGAGCATAAACATTTAACGGAGAATGTTGTATATTCCTAGAACTGTGCGTTATCACCGATCAATATTGACTTGCCGAATCGTCGAACTATCCTGACAAAACAATAAGTAACGTAAAAAGAATGATAGAAATAAACTGGATATTTTATTCATCTGTTATCGTGTCATCTGTCTATTCTTCCCCTAACTGTGATGTAAAATATGGAAATCATTTCACGTTCAAACGTTTACTTTTCCAGTTTGTATAGTTAATATTTTGTGACTCCTACGTCTTTTCGCGGCTGGCAATTATGGAAATTGTTGGTTACACGGCAGACACGTAATGCTAATGTCATGATCGGATTTGGCTCGTATCGATTAAATCATTACATTGTATTAATCCGCAATACATATTACGCAGTACAGATTGTAGAGTAATCCGAATGTTCTCCGTTGCGTAAGTCAATCAGCCTCTATTATCTATCGGGAATGCTACGCCCGTGTAATACCGAAGAATGTAACTTTAAGACGTATATTGATCTACTTAATGCGTGCGTATATGTAGGCTGCTTATTAAGTAAAAGTGCATTATTTTTTTCTGTGTTATATACTTCAATATTAAATACTTTATGTTCAAATACTTAATATTCGAAAAAATAATATTCTTTCTTTAAAAGATATTAACATGTACAGTATTTAAACTTTATAAAATTAATATTAAAGAAATATCAAGATTATTATAGACTTTTCTCAGTAACAAATGATATATTAATATAAGCCGTTAATAACAGTTAATATACATAATATTAGTAAGCAGTTTAAAAGCACAAACGAGCCTAATTGTACAACCCATTCTATTTAATTACATGAGAGAAAGTACGCAGCTATCAATCTCCGCGATGACTAATCGTGACTCTGTACTCTCAGCCGGCAGTGAAATAAAAGGCAAAACCGGAAGTGGATGTTGTGAAATCGAGCGAAATAAAGCACGGTGGTAGTAACGCGTCGTGCATGGAGGGGAGCAGCATTGTCGACGATAAAAATAGTTGACATGTCAGACATGTGCGTCCAATGCGAGGGACGGCGCACTCTCGACGTGCGTTCGATTCGAGACATCACCGAGAGCGCATGAACATTGCGCGTATGTCATTCTCGGCAGGAAGCGCGCAGGGAAGCGAGCCTAGTCATTGTAAAATGGCACTTTACGGCGGCGTTCTCGTCCGGAATCACCGTAGAAATCTCAAATTGTAAATTGCGCGAGTAGCCCGGCAGTATGTCGAGCACTTGTAGAGAACCATTACAGATTTTCCGCGACCGTTTGCTTCTACCCGATAATAGGCACTAACGAAATTGCGCCGCTCACGACACAAGGGATACGGAATCTCGACGATATTCGTCACTACCGTCCGCGCTTCGTCGTGTTTCTCGAAGTCATCGCGTCAGTTGTCCAATCTCGATTGGCAGATTTCATATGAGAGAAAAGCGAACGGTAGGTCCGTCGCAGTAGGAAACGAGTCGTACACACACGCGTGTAAGAATGCGCAAGCACACATCTGCTCCGAGGCGTTAGACTAACAAAAACGGAGGAGAACGAGACAGCAGATGTGAATGGCACGAAAAATCGGTGACGAGACCATTACAAAGTCCTTCACCGGGGAACTAACGCGTTATTGAGAAGCTACCGAGTATAACTTATGCCTCCGTCTATAACACGAGAGTTCATATTGTACCGAGAGGTGCCTCGACGGTAATGGGCCACCTTTTGTGCGAGATGCTCTATTGATGTCGGGAGAAATTCCGTAACGTTTGCGCAACACGATAGATGACTCGTTTCCTCTCCGTCTCTCCCTCTTCTCTCTCTCTCTTTTTTTCTTTCCGCTGAAAATATCTTCTCGACCGCGCCGGCCGCGCCGGAGACGAGAATCCGGGACGAATCCTTGCGCGGATTCACCTGGCGGCTTCACGGATAGTGAACTCGCCTGGGAGATCATTGGAAACTCGTCAAATTCGGACGGCGCTTTGTGAATCAGCGCTACGGAGGACTTTCGGCTTTTGTCCGCGGGACGCGGTGGGTCGACGCGAATTATGATTTTCCATTGTGAAGTCAAGAGGAACTAACGGAGGGACGGCGGTCGTCGTACACGCGGGTCCTCGAAGCTTCTCGCTCGAATCGGTTTGGCGACAATACGAGATAATCCAGCTGCCGGTGTATACTATATAGCAGCTATAGAGCATGCGGTATTAACGGTATAAAGGACGCTACATTATGTTGTTGACGCGCACATTTCTATTATTTTCTAATACGACGGAGTTTCTAAACACTCGCGATGCAGATGAACGTAGGCTAGAATAATGATGGGTTACGTGTATCGTCGCTAAAATATCAATGCCGTGTAGACGCTCCATCGGTAAGGAGCCAACGAGCGAAGCAGCGAGGCATCTCGCGCTACAAGCAGCTATATGAAGCCGAGGAATGCGTTCGTCCGATCCCACGGCTTATCCCCCTTCACTCTCCCTTCCCTCGTTAGCTCTTTTTCTTTCTGGTACGCGATAGTAGTATTACCGGGCTTAGGCTTTCTCTCTCTCTCTCTCCTTCCCTCCTTCTCTCTCTCCCCCCCTCTCTCTCTCTCTTTCTCTCACGTTCTCTCAGAGTACAGTATGCAATCTACCGACTCGATGGCTCTCTTTTAGCAGATTCTGGAATGTGACTACCAAACCTGAGCTGATTTCTTTCAAATCTCGAAGAAACGGATAAACACGTATACCGACACGATTAGACGACTCCGATAAGCATCGATGAACGTAGGTGTTAGAAAGTTGAACGACCGGAGGTTATAAAAGCGACTTTGGCATGAGAATTCAACTAATTCTTAATTGGATTACATTTTCAATTTCCTTTTGCATCTGTTGGACGTCGTATTTCCGCGTTGAAGAATTATTATCGAACAATTTGAAGAGCTGCACGCGATATCTAAACGTTAATGATCGTGGTTTACAACCTGATGAAACAATAGAGGACCGTTTCACTTCTTTTCCTTCTTTTCAGTCCGTTGCAGCGACCACGTCTCCGGGGTCATGTTGCGGTACCGCGACCTAATCGCGATCCGTTAATATCGCAGGAGGTATAAAGCCTGCACCGCGAAGTCCGGGGCGATATCTAGATCGTCTTATTACGCATATCAGATCGACTGGTATTTGCAGTTTTAGAAGCGAAAATCATTCGTTCTCCCTACTGGATGGGCGAATTATTCAAACTATTATTATTCAAACTTCGGGAGGAAACGAATAATCGTAAGAGAATATTGACGTTAAATTCGCGATTTGGATTTGGATTTCAAGTAGAACTCACTTTCAGCTTTTGAGTGTGACCACATCGGCAACAGCAATACGACATATAGTCAGGTAGCGCGGGCATGAACCTCAACTGTTCCTGCTGCGAGTACTCGTCCACGAGCTTCCGATAATGCACCCTGAAAATGGGCCTCGTCGCGCTCTGCGAGCCTTTGCCAAGGCGTCCCATAATCGCAAAGAATGCGGCCGGGATATTGCGCCTGCGTGCAAGCCTCCTCATGCCACAGCGACCGTTGTACTTGCACGTTGTCCTTCCAAAACGCACCGTCTCCCTTAACTTTCACGAAAGAGGATACTTTCTCCCCGAACACCGACCGCGCGTGAAAATCGAGCGGCGAACGGCATTTATCCCCGATTTAAATGACAAGGCAACAATTCGGCATTGTCAGATCTATGAAAAGCGCGACCATCACCACCAATCACACCGGTCATTCGCATTTCCGACATAAATATTCCACACATTTCCGGTCACACATTCACGGACACTACGCGACGCACTTTCCAACGACGCACGAGACGACTGGCACGTCGGCGCGTTAAAATGTTAAGCCGCCATCCAACACTTCTTCCGAGGATATTCCGTCGACGATATATCGGCGACCTATCGCGGGACCAGGAGGCGCCTCCTCGAAATCACCAAGTTCCAATCCTATATCTCACAGCAACAGGCGGATGAGCACCGCTCGATCCTCGTACGGTTAACGCAATCGGAGACGCCGGTATCCGTTCGGTAACGGAAATACGGTGGTACCGAAGGTACATCCATCGCGGAGAGAGCTGTCGAGAGTCCGTCGTTGACGCTTCCTCCCTCTGCGGCCGCCGATCTCCCGTGTCTCCCCCGAGAGGACGCGGTATTATTAGCAGGTGACGACGATCGCGACGTCATGGGACCCGTGGGATTCCGGTCCTATGTGCGACACATCCACGAAGGATCCGTGAGCGAGCTCTCGATGGCGTGCGTAGCCTCTCGGCTACGTGTCGTTCTGCATGCCGATCCGCGGAAACCGGTTAACGAGTTACCGCGCCGCTTCTCGCTTCTTACTCGTCGTCTGTCAACCGCGTACGCAGTCGCAACGTCCTTCTACATTTTCCGACGGACTTGCTGCGGGACGACCTCCGTTACCAGCGTCGCGATCGTACCCCAGCAGCCAGCACACATTCGCGCGCGCAATTCCTCCGTAATCGTTCTTGCTCCGGAGTACTCTGGAATGGCGAGAGAACGGCTACGGGTTGAACTTAGAAAGTTTCCGGATGGAATTTTGCGCCGTCTGCTGATCCTTGGCGATGCTCGACGAATGAGTCACGCGTGTCCCTTCCTTCTTTTCTTTAATTGTATTCTTATAGAAGTATGATTAATGAAACAAACGCACAGTAACTCAGACTAATATTTTACGTGCCATAATGTTACAGTCTCTCACTATTTCACCGATCTAGTACGTCGAGCCGGAAAACATCACGGAAGTGGAAACTCACGGAGACGGGAGAGAGGGCGAGACGAGTTATCCGTTAGATTGGACCAGCGTGGACCGGTCCACGCGCGTTCTTTTTTATGTCAACCGAGTAGGATATCACCAGGTGAACCTCCACACAGCCGGCGATTTCTCATCCCGCTCTCGTCCTATCCTCTCCGACTCACGTTGGCCGGTCCTGGTGCCGCCGTCGCTGCTGCCTCTCGCACGATGGAAGCTCGCAAAGCCGCAAAATCTGGATACCGCCGTGCTAACCGGCCCGGCCGATGGCAATACCTCCCGGTACGTATAGAGAGAGAGACTGAAGTCCACGAGGAACACGAAGCGAGAGCACCACCGCTCCGGCCGGCCCACACGGTTTCATCCCCACCGCGATCTGCGAGGAGCCGACGAGCGGTGCGACCGACCGACCGACCGCTTTCTTGCTTCAACCGCGGCATTGAACACGTTCAACGGCAGCTGTTGAATACCACGTGTCCCCGTTCTCCCTCTCGCCCTTGCGTGTCCCTCGTTCTCTCTCTTTCTCGCTCTCCCTCTCCCTGTTACTCTTTCACGCTCTCTTTGTCCCTCTCACGGTCTGTCGGTCAGTCCTTCCCGCTCTGGCACAGGTCGCTCTCCGTCCCTCTCACGATCTTTTCCACGGGTTCTTATTCTTTTTACCCTGCCACGACCGAGAACGCCACTCGACAGAGAGCCAGCGCCGCACGGAGCGCATGAGTTTGCGATTCGCGTTCTTTGACCCGCCGTCAGCGCGACGCGCCGCTCGATCGCGGACTTCGGCTTCGACTCCGGGGCTCGCGCCGCGCCGTGTCCGGTGATGTGAAGTACTTATAGAGGGTAAAATACCTCCTTTTTACACCTAAATACGTTTCGGAATATTTCTATACCCCCTGGGTATATTTCTTGCAACGAGCATCCATACCTAGAATGTTCGCATACCTCCTTCGGAATGCCTGTACCTGCCGCAGGTACCTGGTATCTACTTAACGTACATTTTAAGGCGCTCTTCAAGGTCAGGGTGAAGGAACGAATCGCGGAATCTCGAATTAGTCAGAATTTTCGCTAGACCGTAGAATGTCGGTCAGGAATACGGTCGGTATGCCGAATCTAATCCTTAACGAAAATATGAAAAGAATTCACGCACCCGAACATTCTTCCTTTTTATTTTTCTTTAAAAAGAATTTCAACCATTTTAAACTTCTACATCCCTCCCCGATCACATGTTGACAAATCACCTGACAGAGAGCGTGGAAATTGCTTGGAAACTGAAAATGCGATGTCAACCGCTTCAATGAACGCGGAAACCTTCGAATATTCGCTGAGGCTCTTCATTTTCCGCCTATTCTCGCAATCTCTCCGTGCTATCGGAGTAAGCTCACTTGATCCGAGACCTTCAAGAACGATGACGTTCTTAATTCGGCGGAAGGTATTTAAAGTTTAAATCCGAAGAGTGCGCCATTAGGGTTGACTAAATGTCAAGGCAGAGTGCAAAGTTCCAAGTGCAAAGTCTACTATTCTCAACTCACTAAAGCTCCGCCAACTTACGGCTCTATCCTTTCTGATATCGTCGGACCTCGAAGCCTCGGGCGATGTTATCTTCCAGACAACAGGAAGAGGCTTTTAGATCCTGGGATTCGGTAGTCGCTCAGTATATCGACGTATCCGAGACGATATTTTCCCGTGTATTCGCTGGTCTCAGCATCGAAGCACGTTCCTCCCTCGGATGCTTCACGCCCGGTTGTTATGACTTTCGATAAAACGCGATACGGTGGTGATACGTAACATGGTAACAATAAAGCATGATCGTACTGATAAGGTGAAACGAAGGCGAAGTACACTGCTCGCGATTAGGCGTGAATTCGAAGACAAATCGGAGACAAATCGTATTCGAGAATATAATTTTACGAGGACTAGTGCAAATTAGTAGGGTAGACTCGTTAATTCATGTAGAAAGGATTCTCTCGGGTTATAATTAAAACAAGATTCCGGTCTTGTAATTTCAATTTAAATTTTGTCTGTTAAACGTGCGGCTTGGCTCTAAATGTCCCGGCAGAATTGTCGAGAGCAAAAGGAGCGATCCATCAGCTTTAAACGACGAGACAGTTCCCAGTTTCCACTTGAGACGCACGCAGTTGTCCATTGGCAAGGGTCGACCTGTCACGTACAGTACCTTGGACGAAAATCCCGGCTTAGTTTCGACGATTTATATTAACCTGATTATTTAAGATACTTTGAGCGTCCGCGCCAGTAAAATACTTTGAAAATACTTCGGGCGCTGTGTATTCCTGTTCGTTTCACATGCGTTTATATTAACGTATATTTTTTCGTCATCTAGATGCTTGTAATTGTTCCAGTCGTTTATTACCGCTTCGTTTTTTAAGTAATTAAAGATCTATTTTTGTGGAAGCTTTATTCAACAAAAATAGACTCATTTATGACCTTATTGATGTGTCTTTCATGTATTCCATCTTCGTTAGAGTCATATCCTGCATGCCGCAAAAGGAAGAAATATTGTATCAAAGAGAAAGTCTCGCATTTTTACTGACCTGTTCTGCAGACTCGGTGATAAAAGAATGACAGTACTGCTGGCTGAAGTGGGCCCTGGGCTCTCGCGCCAGAAAGCTGAATTGGGCGTGCTGCGGCTCACAAGTCGCGTAAGAGATGCGTCTTAACGCGTGCGCCATTTGCACGCACTGCAACAGAAATAAAGAAAGAACCAATCTTGAGAACCGCTCGTAAGAACTTTGATGTAAGGAGTTTTTATATAGGCAACTACGGTATATAGTAAATATGACTTAAGGGGGAGAGCCCACTTGAAAATAATCAAAATATTTTTTACTTTTTAAAAAGAAAGCAGATTAGTCTAAATATATAAAACAAAAGGTTGAATATTTAATTCTCTGCCGAAATAGTTAAGATCAGATGACTAACTAAAAATGTTTGTTTAAAATCTTTATTTGATTTATCATCTGGTATCATCCCTTACTTACTTTATTTTGAAAAGAAGAGGATAAATTATCGCAAAAGATTGATCTAGAAAAGAATGTAAAGGTATAGGTAGATTTGTCCTATAATTTCGCAATTACATCTTCTCCTTTATACATATACTCTTCTCTCTATCTATATTATAAATAACGATGAAAATAACACTTTGCAAGTAATATCCGTTGTTAATAATTACTTAATAAAACTTAATATATAGTTACTATAATTATTTAAAGTTTCTTAATAATTACTTAATATTTTGTTTAATAATAAATTGAAAGTTTATTTGTGATATCTGCATGGATCATTTTGAATAATGCATTCAGCGCAGCGAAAAATAATTCAAATTATCTCTGACTGACAATTTTGACTGAGATATTTTCGAGAGTGACCTCGTGTTGAATGCAAACAAAAATGATTTACGAGCGTTTTATTATTGCTCTCATCCTGTTGAGTGATTTAATCGTTTAAATCAATTCCGCTGCGAAACGTTGCGTATGTGCTAAGGCCCGTGCAAGAAACTAGCGTCCTCATTAAACAGGATATCGTCATAAATATCACTTACTACATATGGCTCGTTAGCAACCGCAGCAAATATCGCGTGAGCCTAAATTGAGGGGTGTAGGATGAGATAATTAAATGGCACGAATATCTGGTCTGTAATATATCGGTAGAAAAATTACTTGGCATAAAATTAAGGTATTAGGTCTATTAAGGTATTAGCCACTTTGGCACAATTAATTAAAATAAAATTAATTAGATGAATTATTATATTAATGTTTTTTCTAGCTACAATAATTAAAATCTAAAGTTAAATTAATTAATGACATTTTATAAAAAAGATTTTAATAGCATTCCTCTAGTAAATATAAAAATTAAATATGTTTTACATTTATATTACAACTCTACTCTGGACCAGAATAAACAGGCAGATGTTTTTATACGCGCCGAAGAAGCTCCAATTTTATATTATTGCAACTGTTGGATGATGATTCGATCGAAGTGATAAGAATTAATAAAAAGAAATAGTGCTCAATTATCGGCCACTCGAAAAAATTGCGAGGTTTTTATTGAATTTACGTTCTGGAACTTTTAATGATTTACTAAGACTTCGTATTCGCGAGATGCTCATAAGTTTCGACACAAATTTGATCGTTTGGCTGAATCGACTTCAATTATAATTTCAGAAATACCTTCTTTAAGCTACGATAGAAACCTGAAAAAATTCTTATTTTTCAGAAGTTTATAAAAAAATTTCCATCAAAATATAGAGCGTAATAAAAAAGATTCTTTTATAAATCCTAATAATTTAAACACATCGTTGTAAGATACATATATGTAGATTTTCTCCGATGGTGAGATAATATGTAAAGTAGTATGTATCATCGTCACAACATCGTCGCCGAATTTAAATACCGCTCTTAGGACGTAAATTTTTAATGTTGTCTATAAATTAAGCAGTCAGTACAAATAAAACTCGTTCAGTGAGCAAAATCTTCGTATCGTCGTCTCTTCGAGAGAGCTTTTGCGAGATTTCGCTAATATTTCAGCCAAGAATTTTATATCCTCGGCTACGGCACACTTTGTGCACTTGATATTTTATTACCCAGTCCCACAGAATTACATCGAGCATGTTTACAGTCCTCGCTTGCACGTTCTATTAATATTTATCTGTCCATTGTGTCGCGGCACCATGCTCTTGTGCATACTATAAACACAGTACTGATTGCAGAGTTGGTTCAGCGTGTATAAAAGGTTTTCTTTGTGCAAGAGAGGCTACGCATTTTTGTATTGTAGCGGAAATTTTCTCTGTGACTGACTTAATTTTGCAATTTAAGTGTTAAACATAAAGTTCGTGTATTTATATTTGATAAACGATATAAAATCTTCCCTCGCACAACTCACATTCTCGCTAAAACCCGTAAGCCTTTAAAATTTAAAGCTCCTCCCGTTTCCAAAGTAGCATTTGTGACTCGAGCTATTATTGCGCTCCAATCATCAACCTAGAAAAATGCGATTTTATCTTTAAACCTCCAAAACAAGATACGCGCTGAAATTCGTTCTCTCGCAGAGGTAAGCATGCGAACGAGTAGAATGGTGATTGAAAAGATGATCGTACTGCACGAGCAAATTTTCCGGTAGGGATACTCCGCGATTCTATGAAGTTTCGTGCTGAATTTTTCATGGCACCTGCATTTACTCCAAGTAGCAAAGTTCTACGTGAGAAAGATATAAATGACCCGGCTCAGTAAAAAGCTGCTCCTATAATACTTATGAGTCCAATGGAGGGGCATTACTTGGACCGGTTCTCTTATCACTATTTTTTAAATAGCTCAAAGCGTAGAAAAATTTCTGACCA